AATCTATTTCTCAAATGTTAATGTTTAGAAAACAGAAAGCTGATCTTAGAATGAAAAATATGCTGATTAGTGTTTTTCATGAATTTTCCCTTTAATATCAATAACAAGTGTATTATCACAATGCTCAATACCAATGCAAAATAGTAACAAATTAAAATCGTCTCTTATTGTAAAAACAACTAATATTTATTGGTTTTGCAATTGGATATTCGGTGTGCTTCAGCTTAATTAACATCTCTAATTTTCAGTCTCTTTTTATCCAAAGAAAAAAAACTGAAATATTAAATCAATCAAATAAGTAACATGAACTGAAAGCACATGAAGCAATGTATCAAATATAATATTTATATAATGCCTAATACTGATTTGGTTGATTTGGTTCAAAATACATGTAGAAAATGATTATATATGTGCACACAGATGTATGCAAAAGCAAGGGTGCCCCCAGACAAATAACATATTTTGTTTTTGGTTTTTTTTTTACATTTTTTGTTTGTTTTATCAAAATACGTACACATCCTCCACTCAAGAAAACAAATATAAATATGAATATAAATTTTTGAAATTCTGCAATATTTAGTGCATACTTTCTACTTTCTATTTATTTGCTGAGTTTAACATATTAAAAAGAAAAACATGAAGTATGCCATGACTTATGAACAGGCCACATTTGATATTTTCCAATATGTTAAATGAATATTTTGTGTATATATATATATATATATATATATATATATATATGTATATATATATATATATATATATATATATACACATACATACATATATGTTCCAACAGTAGTGATATATATATATATATATATATATATATATATATATATATATATATATAAAACAAAACCTCTCCAAGATGGTAACTTTACAGGAGAAGGAAAAACATACCTTACTTTTAATGTAAGTCAATGGAACCAGACTTTTTTCCAAGTAATTTTGGTCCATCATTCATCATGAAAATTACACACAATATAAATGGCATATGTACATTTGTAAAAACTTTTTATTTAGTAACTACTATAATTGAGCTCTGTCATATACATGCCCTAAGAGTTTAAAGGGGTAATGTTTTGGCTATACAATTCAAATTGCCTACAAATGCATTTACTAATTAGTATTAAAACCACCCAGCCAACACCTGAGATTTGGTCACAATGAGGTCACTCATGAACGAGGCCAATAAAAGGCGACGCAAGGACTCACTTCTGAGTGGTGGAAAACTTTATAGGGGCTTCTTCGAAATTAGCCACTGACTGTAATTCATTGTCACGCGCTTTAAGACTTCTTATCTGGTCTACAGTGACATCTAGTGGAGAAACTGCGTTACACACACAGTTATCACGTGACATATGAAATACGCGGACATCCTCAAAACACTGCACCAGTGTTGACATATTATGAAGCGCGTTTATAAGAAAAGCAGTAGCGCATGGGGGTCTTTTTTATGGTAACGTGTGCATCCAAGCTATTACTGTGTGCCCAGTACCGCGTTAGTGTAATTTACTGCAGCCAAGGATGAAGAAGATGTGCAGCCTACTTTAAAAATGACGTAATGCGTTTACGAGTTTAAAGATGACGTAATGCATTTGTAAATGAAACTTTTTTTTCTTTGGTTATATAACTGTACAGATGTAGCCAATGCAGAGGAGCTCTGTGTGCAGCCTACAAAAACGTTTGCAATCACTCTGCCTGACAACACTTTCGAAAATGTCTCGACACTGAATTACTACTCTTTTAGTTGCTTTTAATTCTGACACTGACTTAAAGGAGCTGTTTATCTGTAGTGTCCGCCCGGCCATTTGCACGCTCTTTTGCTGTCAAACCCGTTATGCTGAAACTGCTGGACTGATTGACAGTTTAGGACTGGAAGTCTGCCAGTTACAAAAGGCACAGCTCTGTGTAAGTGGCCGTGAGGTCAGCTGTGGTGATGGGAAGTTCGATTCAGTCCACCGAATCGATTCTTTCAAACTCTTCGTTGTATTGAATGGAATGTCCGATTCACAGCGTCAATTTAAAAAGCTAACTGTTCGGTTTTAAGGGGAAATCCACCGATTTTCCAATTTTGGCAGCATTTAGTCGTTAAAATGTAAAACAGAGTCATTCAGTGTGGTTTGATGTAAAATGGTTCATTGTAGAGAAACTGTAGAGACTTCTTTACAGTGGTGGTGATTCATAAAAGAGACTTAAGAAATTAAGAAAATCTTTATTAAGAAAAAAATACTTTATTATTTATATTTATTAAGAATTCTCTTAAGCTTGTTTTGAGAATTGTTTCTTAAAATTAATTCGGCCCCTGGAGTTGTGACGTCTGTTAAAGGGGATTTCAATTTAAAGGTGAATGTTGTTGATTTTTAAATATTTCTGTGTAATTCAGTCACTAAGATTGAGTCATTGAGAGCTATTAAAGATCATGTCTCCATTATCTGAGAAGTGAGAACCTGTTCATCATCGATCCAAAACCCTAGTGTCTGTTTTCCTAAATGAGTTTAGGCCCAAGACTAAAGTACACTGCCCACTGAAATCTGTTTAGTCTATGATCATAGTTAAAGGGGAACCCGACATTTCAAAATGAATGCTGAATAATTCTGTCACTGAGATGTAAACAGTCCTTCAGAGTGGTTTGATGTGAAATCATTTGTTGTAGAGAAACTAACAGACTCAGATTTCTTTACAGTGGTGGTGACAGGAACCAGGGGCCTGGTTCATTAAAGCGTCTCACCAAGAAAAAAGCAATGGAATTTTTTTGTACTTTTCATTTGTTTGGGGCAATAATAAAAACAATTGGTGTTTTTTTTTGTTTTGTTTTTTTGTTTTTTTCACTTTTTTGACCCCACAATTTTTAAAGAAAATTTTTATTCACGTCTACCAAACAGTCGAGATGGCACTTTGTGGCATATACAGTGACTCAAAATGTGCTCTACCAAATGGTTGAGCAGAACATTAAATGTAAATCTTCTAAAATGTGTGTTATTCTTAACTTCATCCTAACTTCATTAAGAAGAAAGTTAAGAAAAGCCACAATGTCTATTAAAGGGGATTTAAATTTAAAGAGGAATGTTGCTGATTTTCAAAATTTCTGTGTAATTCAGTCATTGAGATGTAATCAAAGTCATTCAGAGTGGTTTGGTGTGAAATAATTGGTTGTAGAGAAACTTACCAACTCAGATTTCTTTACAATGGTGTTCATAGGAACCAGGGGTCAAAATGTCTATAGCCATTTTATTTACCATTCAAAATGACCAGTGCACCTACATGTGTTTTCTGGGTTTTTATATATAATGTTAATAATGGTAATACGGTGGTAAACGGTAAAACAAACGATTAATCCAATAACAAAAAAGTTGTTTTTTTTTTTTACCTAAGAATGGCTTGCATGTGCCTCTCAACCATGAATATATTTCTTTTCAGATGCCTGGTTCCTGTCATTTTCTCTAAAATGGAGCATTTTACACAAAAACACTCTGAACGACGTTGTTAACATTTCAAAATCATATTGAAAGCTAACTAAAATCAGATAGAACTGTTGCAGAGTGTTAAAATTTGTGGAATCCCCCCTTTAAGAAATGAAATTCAGATCCTATTAATTCAAGCATTTGTCTTGTAATGTAAAGACAATTACTTAATTGTCTTGTGATGTCAAGATAAAAGTTGCTTTCTCGAGATCACAAGACAAATACGTTGTGACCCCAAGATAACAGTCCAAAAATCATAACAACATGGCTTCTCTGTACTTCCGTAACAGTATTTGTGTGTAGAAAAAAAATCGAACCATTCGTTAAGAATCGATTCGCTCGGATCACTTGAAAGAGTCGTTCAAATGAACAATTCGTTCGCGAATCGACCACCACTAGTCAGTCGGTCGCAGTGCTTAGTCATGGTGACTTACTGCTTTCGCGCTCTCTCTCTCTCTCCCTCTCCCTCCCTCCCTCCCTCCCTCCCTCCCTCCCTCCCTCCCTCCCGCTCGCTCGCTCGCTCGCTCATCTGGCCTTTAGTCAGCATTGCGAGGCTTCATCCTCACAGGACGCGTAAGTACAGTTGCATTAAAACGTTTACATTGCCAGAAAAAACGAGCTTCATTGTTATCCACTTTCCCTTTCACTGAGGTTGCGGTGAGATGTGATTCATCTTCCTCCTCTGATTTAGCAGCGTGCACACAATGTTTTCGACCTATGGCTGCACATCCAGATCTTTCTGGAGCAGCTCAGTTTATTAGCTAATATGCAGGCTTGCATTGCAGATTGACTGATTAAGGAATTGCATGCACTGGTAGCAGCCTTAATGCAAAGTAAAGTTAACGTGTAATGCAGCGAGATTATGAGATTGCATTGCATGTTTTTTTTTTGCATGGGTGTCCAGCAGTGTCCAAGTTTAAGGTGGTGCACTTTCTTTCTTGACTTTTCTTGTGCAGGGTTTACATAAGGATTAAGCTGCATTTCACGAAGATGAAGTGGGTTTCTTCTTTTGCAAATTCTCCGTTCCACCTTAAATGATGCAGCAATTACATGCAACTTCAGCACCATTTAAGGTGGAATGATAAATTCGGATAAGAAGCCAACTTCAGCTTTGTCTGTCGGCACTTCTAGTTCATGCTTTTGGTACACGGAGTGCTGTAACGTTAAGTTAACACAGGGTACGATGAGTCACCGCTGAAGGCGCTCTGCCAAAACCATTTTAACCCCCTCTTTGTGTTTAAATATGACATTTGCTCGCTGTATCGTCAACACAGCCTACTTTCTTTCGACCCACTGAATAATCCAGGCGGGGATCACAGGGTTAACAAGTGAAACACGATCGTCTGAAGTTTCATTTCTTTAGCCAGCTGATGACATGCTTTTTTACTCCCTTAATACCCCTATTCACGACCTAAGATCTAAGATATGAAGAGTATTTTTTAAACGATCGCTTAGTCATAACAGCGTTTACCTGACAGGAGGACCAAACCAGCCAGCCAGCCAGCGACAGAACAAACAAGGTGCGTGTTTTTGTTGTTTTGTGTCCCTGTCGCTTTAGTTGAATTATTAACGCATGTGAAAGTTTCACACAATAGACCTGTAACGGTAACCAGTCTCTAGAAAGGGTTCCTGGAAGGCTCAATGGACGAAAATGTTCAAAACCGAGGGACTGGAGGGAGAAAGAGATTCTTTACCAATCAGCCGCTCTTCAGGAGAAACTCAGCACCGCCGCTGCTCTACTTTTCTTCGCAGCTGCTCTAATTCGAGTCCGGGGATTTGAGGCCTACGTGGCGTCCGACTTTTTTTCTTGTGATTTTTGTCATTTTTTTCTCCTTTTCTCGCGTCGGTTAAATATTTAGGAAAACGGAAAAAGTCATGCGAACCGCACTGGTCAAGTGAAGTTAAAGTGGATTGAAAATGTGATGTTTTAGCTTGTTGTGTGTCAAAGGAATCTTGCAGACGAGTGGATGAAAGTCTCACTTTAGCACATAAGGCTAAGCTACACTTTGTGTCAGCCTGAGCTGGCGGGCTGTGTGCTCGCACGGTTGTTTTGCACATTCTGACCCAGGTCAAAGTAGCCTCGATAAAAGTCTAACCTATGGTTATCCAGTTAATAAATAAGCCTTTTACTGTTGAAAACAAGGCGTACATTTCTTGTTTTTCCCACTTGAGGTCCGTTTTGTGTGTTTTTTGTGCCAAAAACAGACATCATTTATATTTACATGACCAGTTTCAATTCGTTTGTAAAGGTGAATTCCACCAACTCTTAAGAATTTCTGCAAAACTTAATCGCTAAGATGTAAACGAAGTCATTCAGATTGTTTTGATGTGAAATGCTTCGGTCTAGAGAAATTTGCCATGTCAGAATTGTTTAGTGTTGGTGATGGGAACCAGATAGCCGAGGATTTTAATGCTATTAAAAGCTATTTCACAAAAGGATTTTAGACAAACTGGTTATGAATATGCTGCTTGATGACTGAGACATTGTTTTGAGAAAAGATTTTAGCATTAAACACATTTTTTAAATGTGTTCATGGTGGAAAAGTAGAAGCAGGACATTGTAAGGCATGTATAGAAAACCTTTTTTATTGTTTGTTTAATCATTTATTTTAACATTTACTGTTGTTTTGCCATTATCAGCATTACATCTGAAAAGTCAGAAGATGTGTAGGTTCATTGGTTGTTTTGGGTGTATATTATTGCCTTGTAGACATCGTGACTCCTGGTTCCTATCAGCACTACTGTGAAAAAATCTGTCTGTAATTTGCTCTACGATGCACCATTTCACATCAAACTCTGAATGACTATTTTTTACATTTCAATGACTGAATTATGCCGAAATTTGAAAAAGTAGGTGGACTCTTTACCCTTAAACACTTGGTATCAAACAGCCTGTCCTGAGATATATATATATATATATATATTTCTTCGGCACTTATTGGCCACCTTGTGTCGTCTCTCTGTGAAAAAGCATTTCTGGCTGAAATGCTCTTTATAGCTTCAACATGAATGGGATGTAGACTGACTATGCCAATATCTATGTAAACAACTATGTTTGCTTTTGTTACATCACAAAAGAGTAATAAATTCAGCACTTGCAGTTTAGTTTGTTTATGTGGCATGTATGGACCGTTTTGTGAAACTTCAGCAGTGTTTGTATACTACATCCAACTCTTTTTATCAAAGAAATTATTTGTATTTTATTTTTTATATTATTAGTATTTTATTTCCTTGTTATAAGTCCTTTAAAAGTTTGCAGTGGGCAGATGTCAACAAGATCATGTGACTTGAGGGGGAAAAAATGTGGTCACGGTGACGAGCGCAGGTCGGACCTGATTGAAACCACCTCCCGTGTGTGCGTCACTGGTCTTAAATAACAGCATCATCTCAGTTTCTTTCACTCTTCTTCTCTGTACCACAACACCAGAGCCAGCAGTGTGTTTGGCTTGTTTGTGACAGAGATATCTGTGGATTTTGATAAGTAATTGGCTCCAGGCCCATTTGCTTAGTGGACTGAACGACTAATATATATTGTAAAGTATTTGTCTCTATCTGAGTCACATTTGCTTGATCAGTGATACTAAGGTTACTTTACCTGACTGTGGGAACACAATGTGCTGATGGTGTGTCATTTAAGCATAGGAATGTACTTGTTTGTGTCAGGACAGATTGTCCGTTATTTCTGCCTGTTGATCCTTGTTGTAAATCTCCCTCTCCCTCTCTCTCTCTCTCTCTCTCTCTCTCCCTCTGTCTCTTTTTCTTGTAGGTCTTTGAGCAACCAGTGGACAAAAACAGATTCCAGGGCACTGCCCTTTCTAAGTCCTTCAGTCCTGGAGGGATCAGCTGTGTAAAGCACTTGTTTTCCTGGAGGAGGTTGTCAGCACAGACTAAACAACCTCTGGCACCTTTCGCACACTTGCTGACCTGAATATCTGTAATCATTCAGTCTGTCGACGAGGCTCAGTTTTACAAGCGGAGGTGAAACTGTAGCCTTTAACGTAGAAAAACCCCTTTTGCTACTCCAAGAGGAAATGATCTTTTTCCATGTCTTTTTTTGAATGAGTTTTATTACCTCTATTAAAAAAAAGCATTGTCAGGAGATCATTACTAACCAGATTCTCACATGTTTAGTTTTTACATGGTAGATATAGACTTTAAATGCTGAGGCAGACTCTTTCCAGGCGAAAGGGCTACTTATGTTGGGAGGTTACAAGTGCCACTTGCGTGTTCAGCTCAGTACCTCTACCTGCTGTTCTTTCCTGCTCTTGAAGTTTCTGCTGTTGCCACCACAAATGTGTCTGCTGCAACAGATATCAGATTCCTTCCTCCTCAAGCTGGTTCACCTGAGGCTGTAAAACCCTGTTCACTGTTTGTCCTGCTTAACTCTCATGTAACAGGAGAATGTTTACATTTTGAAGAAGAATGTAAAGGGGTCACGCAGGCTTTCTAAAAAAGATGTATTCTCCTGTTTCTTTGAGATCTTGAAATGGACTGCAAATTACATGTTGACATGGAGGCAACTCATGGACTCGAGTTTGCATTAGGTTGTGCATACGGCACGCCATAAAAATTTGATTTGAGCAATCAGTTGCAAGGAAAACGCCGGCTTTTATCTCTTAGGAGCTCGTTAAAGGCTAAAGGAGGGGACGCTTGTCACCTCTCAGCTCTTTCTGAATGCCACACCTGCCTTTTCTGCCTAAAAGATAGCTGTGCTAAGACTTTTGGGGCGGTGGGCAAAAAAAGGAGCGAACTTTCATCCCCCATTCATCCGCACACCGTTCCCTGTCTGCTCTTTGAGCTGGCGAGCAAGGATGCAAGCGCCGGGCGGCAGTCGCCGGTGAAGATGTACGCGGCGTCAGGAATGACGGAGTGCAAGGCGGAGGTGACACCGTCCACGAGTAATGGCCACCGAGTCTTCAGCTACACGCTGGAGAGCCACACGGCCGCCGCCTTCGCCATCATGAACGAGCTGCGGCTCGAGCGGCAGCTGTGCGACGTGACGCTGCGTGTCAAATACAATGACCTGGAGGCCGTGGACTTTGTGGCACACAAGGTGGTGCTGGCGTCCTCTTCGCCCGTTTTCAGGGCTATGTTCACCAACGGGTTGAAGGAGTGCGGCATGGAAGTGGTGCCCATCGAGGGGATCCACCCTCGGGTAAGTGAGCCGGCATGGAGCTGGGCAGGGGGTTACCTCGTTGACCTGTGTGCTTACAGGAAAAAATAGCAAGCTGTGAGAAACTTTGTAAGGTTTGTGCAGTGTAAGCTAAGAAACTAAGGCCTCTAAGTGTCTTACAAATCAGTTCCATGGTAATGATAATTAGAAATAGTGGTTATGAAGATGCTATTTACTTTGCAGTCTGACACCAGTCATTCCTAAAGCACTAAAGCAATGCCAGCAACTCATTGTTGGCAAAACTCTGAAACTTGGTTCTGAGTACCGACTCATAAGTGTTTTAATTGCCTTGTAGTGTTTCCAGTTAAGTTTCATTCAAAAGCATAAAAACATAAATACATTATTATATAATCTGTGCAGTGGTAATGAAAAGGCACTTGGTTTCAGCCCAGTGTGTTTTAGATTTTTTATTTGTGATGATTTTCTTTCAGTTTTAGTGCATCACTAGTGGATAATGGACTCTATTATGTGTACTGCAATGTGGTAAATGAACTCGCAGTCTATACAGGAGGCAGCTAGAAATCCTAGCGTGTCAGTGTGCCGGACACAGATTAAGCCCAGTGCCGGACTGGGTCTGTTTCTTCTGTGAAAATACTGCACAGTCAAGAATTAAGCTCCGTCCCAGGATCTACAGTCGTATGCAAAAGTTTGGGTGCCCCTTGGTTAAATTACGCTTTATTGATTTTCTAAGTGAAAATGAGTGAACGCGGCCTCTACAGAGAAGACACTTCTGCACACCTTAACGCACAATTACTGTTTAGTTACAGAATTAAACATGGGAAAAGAAAAAATAACAAAATATGGCCCGTGGAAGAGTTAAGGCACATTGTGTTTTATGTTTTATTTTGTTCGAGTATGTTAAGATCAATAAAAAAATTGTGTGCTAAAATTTGCAGAAATTATCGTATGTAAGTGTGTTCTCTGTAGAGGGTGTAACTTAGTTTCACTTTAAATAATCAAGAAAACGTCACTTGATTAAGGGTGTTAAAACTTTTCCACACAACTGTGCATAGGACACAGTGAATGTGACGGTCTCTGCCCCCATTGTCCCGTCTCAGAGGTTCTTTGGTTTCACTGAGCTCTTGAAGGGATGATTTTCCCAGAAAAGAAATTACAAGTGCAGCACATGCAGTTGGCATGATTCTAGATAATGTAAGCTTCCATTAGTTAGCTACTTTAGCCTTGTATTCTACTGATCCGATGCAAAACTAAAGAAGCAAATATTGGACACAAATAGGGCCCTAATAATTATGAGTATTTGTTCGTTACATTGGTATTTGAAACTTTATTAGGTGTGTTTGAAAGCTTTCAGTTTTCTTCAGCTAAGGCCTTTAAACAAAACAGTTAGAGTTAATATATGGAAAAATGATATAAACAAACTGTAGCTGGCTTAGTTGATTTCATGATAAATTCATGCCAGGAATCCACATAACCTCACCTCAGAGCACAACAAAGTGCACTACTTTACATGTAGGCATTGAAACTAAAACAGTGAGAGCTTGTGAGAGCGCTTTATGTAAAAATAAAAATGATTGAAATTTCTGATTAGTTTATATGCCAAGTTTTGACGAGTCATCTCAGGTATGTAAGTATAGTGATATTTGTCCAAGTGCCACTAGTCTCTGACGAGGGCACCTCTAAAACCAGAGAGCACAGAACCTTAAACCTGTTTGTTGCGTTCTGGCAGTGGATGAGGGGGGGGGCACTAACGCCCCCAGGGTCGTGGTCACTTCCACGCACAAGAGTCTGACGTGAGTTGCACTTCACCCTGTTCGGTGACCCTTTTGGCCAAGAGCCACATTCTGCAGAGTGAAAGCGATCACAGTTTCACCAGTTTGCAACGTGTCCCCTGAGCTTGGTATCAGGTCCAAGAGGACAGACTGCATGAGCTAAGCAGAGTACTTGCCTTCAGGGTGGTCCTCTTCATTTTTAGGTGGGCTCATAACTCCAAAACCTCTTAAATGCTTCTCTCCACTGTCTTTAGCTTGGCTTCCATCAATTAAAAATGGGGCTTTAGCCACATAAAGTAATTCAATAAAGTAAATGAAAACAGCAAACTAAAGCCATGATGGTGGTAAACAAAAGAATTAATTGTAGCTGTGTTTGTTGTTGGCTTCTACAGCAACATATGGCATACAACCAGGTGGGCTTCAGCCTGCACAACTAAATCTGCAGTAACAAACATACTTAAACGTATGGGTAATTATGGACTGTAACTATATATATATATATATATATATATATATATATATATATATATATATATATATATATATATGTATATATATGTATAGGGCTGTGAGAACCCAAACGTGAAATTTGAACCAAACCCGAGCCCAACTTATATTTGGAAAATGATGTCCAAACCCAACTAAATCGACGTTAGCAGTCAGGTTCAGACAAATATTTGAAGGCCCAATTTGTGGTGTAAATTCTGTGTAAATTTTACTTTGGGCTAAACCATCCCTGTAAAGCTGATTTATTCAGCTGTATTGCTCTGCAGACACTGAGGGTAATAAAAAGCTTTTGAACAAGCTATTCCTACAGGCCCTTCGAGCAGAGACGATGCTCTATATCGAGCTGAAGCTCCACAGTCCTCCACCACTCTCACACCCGGTCATTATCAGGATCTACTGAATCCACTCATCAATTTTACACACTCCGGCATTCATACACTCCTACAGTGGTGGGTTTATCACGCTGGCCTTCGATTTAGCCAGTGTAGTTTGCCAGCTGTGTTTGCTCTGAAGATTAGATTTGGGCAGGACTGCTCAGGGGGAGAGACAGAGGGGTTCATGTGTTAAGCTGATAACTCTGTATTCTGACTAATGATTACAAGGAGGTGTCAATAAGGACATATTCACTTTTTTCCCTTATGATCCTGGCTGTTTTCTCATTTGTCTTGTCATGCCGGGTGTTTCCCAACCCGGAACGAAGGTGCAAAATCTTTTATTGCCACATAAAACCAAAAGATGTATTGCAAGGCAGCAATATGCTTTAATCTCACAATGTCAACAATTAGTCTCTCTGGACGCAATACCCAGTGAACAACTGAGTCATGCCTGCTCATGGCTTTTTGGTCTGCCTGCCGTCTGATTGCTCTGTGCTGTCCAACAGGTCATGGGCCGCCTGATAGAGTTTGCGTACACGGCGAGTATCTCCGTCGGGGAGAAGTGTGTGATCCACGTGATGAATGGTGCCGTGATGTATCAGATCGATAGCGTGGTGAAGGCCTGCTGTGACTTCCTGGTGCAGCAGCTGGACCCCAGCAACGCCATCGGCATCGCCAACTTCGCTGAGCAGATCGGCTGCACCGAGCTGCACCAGAAGGCCCGCGAGTACATCTACATGAACTTCAGCCAGGTTAGACTCTCATAGCATCTGTTCGGTTATAAAAGGTTAGACACAGTGGTCATTCAAGGTTGCAGTACCGTTTTGAATTCCCTTACCATTTTATACACAGTAATAACACACATACATTTTTAAAGTTTACAGCAGGGGTGTCCAATCTTATCCGCAAAGGGCCGGTGTGGCTGCAGGTTTTCACTCAAAATGAGCTGGAGCACAACGGACTTCACTTGTTTAATCAGTTAGTTTCAGTCTTCAAACCGCTGATCTCGTGAGCCCCTGCTTTGTTTGAGTCAGAACCTGCACCCACTGTGGCTCTTTGTGGGTAAGTTTGGACGCCCCTGGTTTACAGTGTACATTTAAATATTAGAATCAAGAAGCTGAAAGGTGTATTGTATTTTGTATTTCAAGTAGTCAAGTATTTCCAGAAAAAATTAAAACATTAAATACTACAATTTTGTGTCTGTGATAAATTTATTTTTCACTACTTTTAAAATATAAAATATTCTCAATATTCAGGCTAACAATACAACATATAATATTGTAATATTAGCCTCACAATTCAATATGCACAGATACTGAATAATATGTAAGACAGACGGGAGCAAATAAAGCACTTACTATAATACCGCTTATATTGCATTAAATATAATAAAAAAAAAACAAGCAAGCTGGCAATAAAGGAAGACCGTCTCACTTCTGAAAAATTGCTTTCTCTTTACCTTAAAAATCGAGAGCAGGGTGGAGAAGCACTCTCCCCGTAAGCATATGTTAGTTTGTGGCTACATATATTTTCACGCAATCATCCTTGCAGAACGTGCATATATATATATATATGTGTGTGTGTGTGTGTGTGTGTGTGTGTGTGTGTATACCAATCAGGCATAACATTATGACCACCTCCTTGTTTCTACGCTCATTGTCCATTTTATCAGCTTCACTTACTATATAGGTGCACTTTATAGTTCTACAATTAGACTGTAGTCCATCTGTTTCTCTGCATACTTTGTTAGCCCCCTTTTACCCTGTTCTTCAGTGGTCAGGACCCCCATGGACCCTCACAGAGCAGGTGTTTTTTGTGTGGTGGATCATTCTCAGCACTGCAGTAACACTGACGTGGTGGTGGTGTGTTATTGTGTGGTGCACTGGTCTGAGTGGATCAGACACAGCATTGCTGCTGGAGTTTTTAAACACTGTGTCCACTCACTGTCCACTCCTATTAGACACTCCTACCTTGTCAGTCCACCTTGTAGATGTAAAGTCAGAGACGATAGCTCCTCTGCTGCTGCACAGTTTGTGTTGGTCATCCTCTACTCCTTCATCAGTGGTCACAGGACGCTGCCCACAGGACACTGTTGGCTGAATATTTTTGGTTGGTGGACTGTTCTCAGTCCAGCAGTGACACTGAGGTGTTTAAAAACTCCAGCAGCACTGCTGTGTCTGATCCACTCAGACCAGCGGAATACACACTAACACACCACCACCACATCAGTGTTACTGCAGTGCTGAGATATATATAAACCGTCAAAACCTATGAACACAATTATTTTCATTCAGTATGTGGCATATGGTGTTGTACCAATTCCAGTTAAATGGGACTCATTTTGCTCTCTTTATAATGAAACATGCTGTTGGCCATTGTTCTACAAGTGCTGACACTATTTACAACATGTTCAGAAAAGCATATTGTATTGACATAATTTATCACGATAATTATATAAATTGTCAATTCAAGCAAAGTCATGCCAGGGAGGGTGCGCATGTTTCTTTATAAGGAAAGACTGAATCCATCTAAAGGAAACTGGCTGTTTTAAATGTGATGTTTCCTTATAAATAAAGTTGCATCCTCCCTGACATGACTTTGCATGAATTGGCAGAGTTAATGTCTGAGAACGCCCTGAGTGTGGTAGGAAGGTATGTATGTGGGTGTGAGGAGGACAGGCAAACCTGTCTGACAGCTTTATGGTATGTGTGCTGGTACAAGTTATGTGTACCTGAGAAGGTACAGTGTTTCCCAGAATGACTCTGTCCATGGTAACTTCTAGAAAAGCTGCTGACACACTGATAGTATTATAGGCTTTGTGAAACATGCAAGAATATGAAAGCACTGACTTCAAGACAGTGAGCACAGAAGACTCACAATGACATGACAAAAGTCATACATTGCCATTGTTTGTAAAGGACTGTAAAGAAAGGAGTTTCACTGTACTGGAGAAAAGAGGAAGGTTTTAGTTTCTGTTCTCTCTCAGCTGTGTTCATATATCCACAGTAATGTGCCTGCTAATCTTACATTCCTCTGCTTACCTACCAGGAAAACATCCATCAGCAGTTGGTCTGGCCCAGGGCACACTTAGCTAAATTCCAATAAAACCCAAATACTGTGTCAGTGTGCCATGTCTGTGCTATTGTTGAGAAGTTATACTGGTTCTTCTGGTCTGTCAGTCCTTTTTGCAAGAATTGCCAACATCGATCAACCTATATTTTGTTCAATGAAAAAAAACAAAAAACAAAAAAAATGTGTAGTGAAATCTGTGATCCTGTCCCCCCCCCATCTGTTCCAAAAGGTGGCGACGCAGGAGGAGTTCTTCAACCTGTCCCACTGCCAGCTGGTGACACTGATCAGCCGTGACGAGCTGAACGTACGCTGCGAGTCTGAGGTGTTCCACGCGTGTGTAGCGTGGGTGCAGTATGACCGCGACAACCGCCGGCCATACGTTCAGGCCCTGCTGCAGGCTGTGCGCTGTCACTCGCTCACGCCTCACTTCCTGCAGCGCCAGCTGGAGCACTTTGAGTGGGATGCACAGAGCAAGGACTACCTGTCCCAGATCTTCCAGGACCTCACGCTACACAAGCCCACCAAGGTCATCTCTTGCCGCACCCCCAAAGTGCCCCAGCTCATCTACACGGCCGGAGGCTACTTCCGCCAGTCACTCTGCTACCTGGAGGCCTTTAACCCCTGCACGGGGTCATGGCTACGCCTGGCCGACCTGCAGGTACCCCGCAGCGGGCTGGCGGCCTGCGTCATCAGCGGACTCTTCTATGCCGTGGGTGGCCGCAACAATGCCCCAGACGGCAACATGGACTCCAATGCACTGGACTGCTACAACCCCATGAACAACTGCTGGCTCCCCTGCGCACCCATGAGCGTCCCCCGGAACAGGATCGGAGTTGGAGTCATCGACGGAATGATCTATGCGGTGGGGGGGTCCCATGGCTGCATCCACCACAACAGTGTAGAAAGGTAAGGACCAGGGATGGTCATTTCCGTCTGTGTCAAATTGATGAGTTTTTCAGAAAATGTTCACAAGCCAGAATCTTAACTTGGACTTAAACCTGAATGTCGATGTTCCTTAGGAGTGTTCAATGTCCAGAACCAGCCTAGAAGCGTTTGGGGTTTTGCAACTCATTGTTGTATAACTTCTCAGTTCTCATTGGTGCAGAAGTGAACTGCTTGGAGGTTATTTTGAACTGGCTGAAGGGCATGTGTTTTGATGAGTTTGGGATTTAGCAATTGCTTCAGTGTTTAAGTTAATCTGTAATAACACAGAATTAAGATAACCATGTTATGATTTGTGAATATATAACACTTTTGAGTCAACAACATGACTATATACTCTTTAGTGGGGCAGCCAATATAGAAGCAGAGGTTGGGGGGCTAGCTTGGAAGCATTATGTCAAAAAAAAAATCACTGTAGGATGACAGCCACCAACTAGCCTACTTTGTTGTCACTTCCTTAACCAGAGAGAATTTCAAACATATGATTGGTGGCCGAGAATTTAACTGTTTAGTGTAACAGCTGCCCACATACTACTGCTATGGTCAGCTTTGCTGCTTAACTAGTTCACTGGCTAGGTAGCTAGATAGCCTTCCATATAGCAACACTCAGCTAAGGTCTGCAGAAACAGTTATGCAGGTGTATCTTGTTTAAAGATGTTTTTTACAGAGTATTCTTATTGTGGTTGAGGCAAATTGGGCTATAATCAAGGACATGGTCATATTAGCCAAGAGAAATGTATTTGTTGGGGTGTTTTTCCATCTCTTTTTAAAATGTTGCTTCTTTGTACTAAAGAAGTACTGATGCAGTAATCATTTATAAAGCATGTTGAATATTCTTAGGATTTTTCAGCGTCAGACAAAAATCAGTTCTCCAAAATCCCCTCTCTCGCACATTCCCTACCATTATTTAGTGTGAGACTCAATATGGCTTTTTACTATGACGAAAAGAGAAGAGGAAGTGTGTTTAGATCACCACTGTCAGGCATCAGATAAAGAAACAGAACAAAGCTGAATCCAAGGAAAGGAGGAACAGAAAGCATTCTATTAATAGCAATTTACCTTCCCTCTGCCACCCCCACACCTTTCCACAGAAGCTCAAAGAAGTTTTTCCTAGTTTTTCTATCTAGAAGCTTAAGAGAATTCATTAATCTGAATGAAGAAGCTTTGCTTGCAGATCTGTGTACTTGAGTTTACCTATCACACCACTTCTGCTTTAGTGGTAAAATCTAAAATTAACAGAGAGGGCCTTTTAGTTAAAAAGAGTTCTTCCAGTTCATCATGATGGCAGTCATTGTGAAACAAAAAAGCAATAGAGTGAATTTAATGTAAAATGGTAAATTGTAGAGAAAAATTCTGGCAGTGGTGATAGGAACCAGGGGGTCACGATTTCTAAAGTGCAAGTATAGCCATGTTATTGACTAAAATTACCAGTGAACCTACATGTGTCTTCTGAGATTTGTCAGTCATGTTGATAATGGTAATATAGTGATAAATCAGAAACAATATATTTTCTTCGGGGGCTGTTTTTCCCTCCAGTGCCCTGCATGTATGTCTCTGCCATTAATATAATTTTAAAATAAGTTTTGAGAAGGTTTTGGCCTTAAACAATCATGAAAAAAACTGTTATCAACAATGTCTCAGGCTGTTCATAACCATTTAATGTAATAGCTTTTTATGAGGGAGCTTTTAGAGGCATTAAACTCTTTAGATGTACAGTTCCTGTCACAGCCACTGAATCCTGGCTCGTTGCATTTATTTTTTTTATTTATTTTTTTTTTTGAACAGAGCATTTCATGTCAAACCACTTTGAAAGACTGTTTACATCTCATGCGAAAACAAAACTTGTTGGAATTCCCATTTAAAGGAGAAACCTTGATGACCTTATGAAGGTTTTGTCACAGTGATGCAGTGTGTGGCATTTGCATTGACATTTTCAAACTGGCTCTGAACAGGATCAGTCGGCTTGTATAAGATTTCATTTGCATATAACTATTTAAAAAAAGAGTTTAGCTTTGATGGTATCACCAATTGCCATTTTTGTGGTCCAGGCATCAGTTGACACTCTGATTGCTGAAAGTGTGTATGTGTGTCACCCATGCAGGTATGACCCAGAAAAGGACTTGTGGCAGCTTGTGGCCCCCATGCTGACACGGCGTATTGGGGTGGGTGTGGCGGTTATTAACCGCCTCCTCTACGCAGTGGGCGGATTTGATGGCACACACCGGCTGAGCTCAGTGGAGTGCTACAACCCCGAGAAAGACGAGTGGAGAAGCACAGCGGCCATGAACACTGTCCGCAGCGGAGCCGGTGAGGTTACTAAGTAGCAGAAATACATAAGATTATTTATTGAGAATTTTTGTTTAGACAAATATATAAGATATAAGAAATTTTCCCTGTCTCTGCACACCTAGTCCAAATGAAAGGCTTAATAATTAGTTAATGTGTTGAGTCGTGAATCACTGATTTAGATGCACAGTTAGTGGTCATACAGACTTTTAAGAGACTTAAGCCCAGTTTGAGCTAGATTAGTAGTACCTGAAGAGGTGCTGCAATTTAACTGACTACCCTTAAGTTCTCCAGTTTTAATCCAGCACGAATTTTCAAATGTCTGTAGATGTTTTGACAGTATGACGTTATGGAAGTGCATGTGCTAAAACTAATCTAGCTTGAAAAGTGCTTAAGTGAACTGGTTAATATAAGTACCTAACAGGGGAATTCCACCAGTTTTTCAAAATAGTTTCTCATTTTCCACTTATTCATAATCTCTCCATGATTACATATAAAAACACATGTAGGTTCACTGGTGGTTTTGGCTAGTAAATAAAATGGCCATAATAGTTTATTGTTAGTATGGTGTTTTAGACATCACAACCTCTGGTTTCTATCACCACAACTGTAAAGAAATCTGAGTCAGTAAGTTTCTCTACAATGAACCATTTCAAGTCAAACCACTCTTAACGACTGTTTACATCTCAACTACTGAATTATGCAGACATTTTGTAAAATCTGTGAAATTCCCCTTTAAGCCAGGCATGCACTACCTAACTATAGAATTCTACCAGATTCCTCAAACAGAGCACCACACCTCTAACAGCAGCCTTTTACAGAATGTCTGGTCTTTTTGTCGTCAGACCGTGTGCTAGACAATTGGCTAAATAGAGGGTATTGCATAACTACTTTTGACTGCCAAAAGCCCCCAAAATCCCAAATCTCACTGTAATCACATGACACAAATAAAGCTGAAACTGGACCAGACTGAAGTGTAGGAAAAATGCAAGCCATGAATAAATGTGGTGGAGAAGCACGGATATCATTCTACTCTGCATCGAGAGCTCGAAAAGCATTTTACAACTAACTGGCAAGCTGACTCGGAGCACCGTAAAGTTCTGCTCCATACATTATCAACAGTGTAATGGCAAATTCAACAAGCAGCTCTAGCTCCGCAGTCTGCAGCAAATGTGGTGTGCTGACACGTCTCCTAGATTTCGTTTTCTCTCTCCCAGCCTTCGCATTAGCTGTTGCATGAATCACTCAGTGGCTCTTGATGACTTATTTTTAGTCATAAAAATCAAACACGTCATACAAAAATAGTTTCCGAAAATCATGAAGTGCACGCTCAGCTTTAATGAGGGGTTCAGGGAAGGTTGGGTTATTAGGAGAACTTAACAAATCTAGATTCAGCTCAAAGCTTAGAACAATAGTCTGTCCTCAGCTCTAACACTTGACTTATCTGCTACATGCCAAGCTCTAAGATTTCACTAGTGAGTGAAATCAGGGCTGTCCAAACAGGCAACCACCAGTTTAGGAGTATTAGATCTGCTTTTGCTCTGTTCAGTCACAGTTCTAGAGTTAGCAGCTGTCTTAACATTTGAAACAGGATATGTTTGTTGTATGTAACCACAAGCATATGGACATGGCCTGCTGGAATCCCTGCGCACTAATGCAGTCCTAGTTTGTTTTTTATTACCGACCCGTATATATTCTAGTTAAATCGTTAACAACTCCTTTCTGCGCTGTCATGATTCAAATGCAAGTCTACTGACAACATCATAAGTTCTAGATAAACCAAGTCACTGTAAGACAGAATAAACAAGGCCGTTCAGTGACCCCATCATTATTTCCTAACCAGGTGAAGAAAAATTCCAGATATAACACCCTGTGTTAATTCACTGGAACGTGAGAGATGAGTCATTGATATATGTGTTCTCTAGGCGTGTGTGCATTGGGAAACCATATCTACGTGATGGGAGGCTATGACGGCACCAACCAGCTGAACACAGTGGAGCGCTATGACGTGGAGACAGACAGTTGGACCTTCATTTCATCCATGAGACACAGACGAAGCGCACTGGGGGTCACCACACACCACGGCCGCATCTACGCTCTGGGTAGGAATCCCCACCCTTGCTACTGTGGTGTAGACCAGTGGTGTCCAGTATGCTGCTGGAGATTGACCATTTTGCAGAGTTCAGTTCTCAGCATACTTTTTAGGCCAGCTACATTAGGTTCAGTGTGAATCTGCATATTCATGGGGTTTCATGTTGCAGAAGTCCAGTAGTAATTATGTTATAGGTGCAAACTTTGCTTTGAGTTCAGCTTTGATGAACTTTGACACAATTTGCACTGTTGACCAATAGCATGACTGCTTTGTCAGCTCTGTCACAAATATGAGTATTTTGGGGAATTATCTAATATTTTCCATGTACATATGTGGTGAAGGTGATACATCAGCATTTTAAAATGTGGAAATTAGGACTAAATCTGCCTGGGTTAGCATGGCTGAGAAATGTCACATGTATTTGTATAGGGTTACAAATGCTGTTAAATAAATAAAATAGAGATATTTTAGCCCACAAATGTTAAATGTTGGGCTTTTCTATAGTGCAATGAGTATTTCATAAAATATTGTTTTGAAATACTGCTCAAATCTTAACATCTGCCCAATGTTGACAAATACACCGATCAGGCATAACATTATGACCACCTCCTTGTTTCTACGCTCATTGTCCGTTTTATCAGCTCCACTTACTATGTAGGTGCACTTTGTAGTTCTACAATTACAGACTGTAGTCCATCTGTTTGTCTGCATACTTTGGTAGCCCCCTTTTACCCTGTTCTTCAGTGGTCAGGACCCCCATGGACCCTCAGAGAGCAGGTACTATTTACTATATATTAACTCCAGCAGCACTGCTGTGTCTGATCCACTCATACCAGCACAACACACACTGACACACCACCACCACGTCAGTGTTACAGCAGTGCTGAGAATGATCCACCACCCAAAAGGTACCTGCTCTGTGAGGGTCCATGGGGGTCCTGACCACTGAAGAACAGGGTAAAAAGGGGCTAAAAAAGTATGCAGACAAACAGATGGACTACAGTCTGTAATTGCAGAGCTACAATGTGCACCTAGATAGTAAGTGGAGCTGACAAAATGGACAATGAACGTAGAAACAAGGAGGTGGTCTAAATATTATGCCTGATGGGTGTCTCTGCCTGTGTCGATATGATGGCAGTATTACTGTGAATGCTTGATCAGCACAGAACACACAACATGGAAGAAGCACTAATTTTAGCTGTATTTAGGCATTTCATGCAGTTCTTCCTGACCCAGCAACAAATTAATACATAAGGGATGGCAGTGTGCTCTTGTGTTTTACCGTTTGTGGTGGGGGATTTGTTCATGCTGGCAACCAGCTGGGACTGGTGGGCAGCAGAAGTGTGGGAATTGTCAATGAGTCCTGCCTTGTTTATGCCTATTACACAAGAGAAGACACAAACTGCAATTTTCCAGTGTGACTGCGGCTTGAGCATGCCTGGTTCTAATACAGTGTTTGTCGACCCAGTCCTCAGGGCACACAACGTAGTAGACATTTTAGCTCTAACCCAGCTCCACACCAAAATCTGGCCATTAAGATGACTGAATATTTGGTACTGGTGCAGGGAACCAGGTTAAAGCAAAAAATGTGAACTTGCTGATGGGCTGAGAATACTTGGCTGCAAAACACTGTTCTTATATTAGGGCTTAGGGCTACAGTAGCAAGGTTTGGGCAGTCCTAGCGTGGAGGTGATGAATGATCTTAGTAGGCTTTATGGAACATAATTTTTCCTGACAGAAATTGTAGTGTAAATTCTTTGTTGCACATGAAAAGTGCATCTATATATGATTATATCTGCCCTCTGGTGGCTGGAAAATGATAGTGCTGAGTGTTGCACTGGTTATTTGCAAGTATGGGGTTTCAGCTAATAGTAGCGTGCGTCTAGGCCAGAGAAACACTCCCTTCTTGATAGTATTAGGTGAAAAGCCTTGGACACATGAGACAGCGCAGAGCTGGCTGTAGTATGTGTTTGTGGTTGCGTAATGTTGTGCACAGCCTGCTGTTAGTATAGCAGTCAGACTCTTTTGGTTTCCAAGGTGTTAACGGCTTGCCTGTGCATTACTATAGATGAGGTAACATTTAGTTGGTGACTTTGTGACTGAACTGACTTTGCTCTTCTTTGCTCTTTATCTTCTCCAGGCGGATATGATGGAAACACCTTCTTGGACAGCGTGGAGTGCTATGACCCCGAAACAGACACCTGGGCTGAGGTCACAAAGATGACCTCCGGGCGGAGTGGGGTCGGTGTGGCGGTCACCATGGAGCCGTGCCAAAAGGATTGTCAGAAACTCTAGTGCCTCCTCCCTCCGCCTCTCCCTGTCTCCTTCCAGCTTTCTGTTCTTTGATTCTTTCCATCCTTCCTTTTTTTTCCGCCAGGCTTATCGTTGCACATTAGCCCTTTAGCTTGAGTTCAGAACAGACCAATTCTGTAACAGCCCTTAGCGACAGAGACCACATGCTAGCACCACAGGACCATAGAGTTGAGCCACAAGGTTCATATAAAGTTTAGAAGATACTTCATATTCTCTGCTAAACTAGGAGAAACCTGGTGTGTTGTTCCTGTTAATAGAGGGACAGGAAGGCCTGGTTGTACCAGAGTACTTCCAGGCAGGACGTGCTAAATTAAATTGGCAGGTTTAGCTGTTTCGTGACCAGACCGCAGACAGTGGGCTCACTAATATGAGTCAGTAAGTGTCTCTTGTTGTATTACTGACCAGTACATGTAAACCAAATCTGTGGTGGTCATATTAGATGTACATGGCTACCTCTTTCCTGAAGCTCGTACCATAAAGGGTTTGGCCTTTTTTTTTTCTCTGTGAATGCAGAAGTGCCATTATCCTCTTCACCACCACTTCAGTATCCCAGCCTTTATGCTGCTGTAGTGGGCATGAAGGCCTGAGCGCACAAGAATTACGTCAGAGTACCAATGGCAGTCTGGGCTGGTATTCTTAAAGAAGCTGGTTCTAAAACCTGGAGCATGTTTTTGTGTTTTTCCTGCTCTAACACCTCAGTCATCAGGTGACTACCAAGACGTTCTGTTGTGTCTTGTGTATCGGAGAAATTAAAACACAAAAATTTCCAGATGCTTAGGATTTAGAGAATCACTGGCCGACTAAGTTATTCCCAATCCTGGTCCTGGAGTACCTCTGTTGTGCACATTTTAGTGTTTGCTTTGGTCTGACACACCCACTTCAATTAACCGATTAGTTGGATCTGGTATGGTAGAGCAGGGAAATCACCAAAATACACAGGGCCAGTATTGGGGACCGCTGGGATACCTGTATCGTGATTTGTCCAGGGGCTTCCAAACACCTGTTTCAAATCATTGTCTAATTACTAAATTAATTGGCTAACTCAGTGGTAGCTAAAATAATGATCCAAGTAGCCAATTACATGGCTATTGGTTAACTGATTAGCTAATTACTTAAAATAATTGGCTGTAGTTCCACTATGTGGATTTGTGGGACATTCAAAGCCAGTGCTTCTCACACTGGTCTACCACATAGGGAGAGAGCAAAAATATGGACCATCTGGGGTCCCTGAGGACCAGTCTGAGAACCACTGCCCTATGCCATTTAGTGTAGTTAAACCTTAATCCAGACTTGGAACCATGCTGTTTTTCATAAGGTTTCCAGAACATAAATTACACCTAGTCTTGGACTGAATTCCATTGCCAACAGTTATTCACATTGCAAATACTTATTAAGCTAGGGTTAGACTTAATGTGGCTAGGAAACAATAGAACACATGTCTGGGGACAGTATGTTAAAACTTTTGGTGCTGGATTGTGGCACCAACAAGGGTACATCCCTCTAAAACCCATCCCTGGACTCTTCTAGTTCATGCTCTTTTAAAGTCCGGAATACCATTGTTAACACGAGGAAAACAAGCTAGGCAAATGCTATCGCTAATGGAAGAGTTTTTCTTTTGCAAAGTTTTTTTTTAATTTTTATTTACATGACTAATTGAGTTTTTTTTTTTGTTTTTTTTTTTGACATTTCAGCCATGCTAACTTGCGCTACATCCATGGGCTAACGGCAGGTTTGTATACAATAGACAATGTTGGCGAGCGCACTGCCCCCCACCACTGCATGTTTAATTTATTTAGAAATGTAGCTCTCTGTTTGTTCCCACCCTGATAAATATTGGCGGGAATGTAGACTTATCACAAAATGTCTCATGGTTGTCCCCAGACATTCTCATTACAAAGGCTAGGCTGCGATGACCAGGCCTTTTGTGAGTTTAATGTCAGTGTGTTAAGACAGGACACTGCAGAACCAGCATTGAGAAACAATGGACTAGACTACAGTAGAGTTGCCAATGCAATATCTCATTCAAAAGTGTTAGTCTAAGACCAAATCTGGACCCGAGCAAAGTACACAAGCGCATATAAGGGAAGATGAGCAGACGGGGAGGCTTTTCTGAAGGGCCCATTTAGGTCGGGAACGTCAGCCGATTCTGCATGTGGCATTACCTGAAGAATGTTTGCAGAATTCACCAAATGGCTTTTGCCAACCGAGGCCAACTTCACTCTCTACAAAAAACAGACACCTTTCTTTGACAGACAGACAAAAAAGCCTGAATAATAAATGTATTTGTAACAGCATTTTAAGCTACATTTTTTCCAGGAATTTTTGTACATTGTACAGAGTTTGAGTGTTTCCTCTTATTTATTTTGGACTGACTCTTTTGTCCCTTTTTTTTGTGCTTGGACGCGGAGTTCTACTCTGGGAGAAGCCGGACTGTGTTTGTGGCTTGTCAAGCATGCGCCGTATTTGAGATTTGATGGAAAGTGATGACTGCTCTTTTTTCTAAATCTCTGTTTAAAAGGGAAGCGTTTTCCTTTAACAGTTTATTAACGATGATTATTTAAAGACTGCTTTGTAAATTTTACAGCAATGAATGCATTGTACAACACCTTGTATATTAAATGCATATGTTTATTGTAATACATCTGTGTCTCTGATGATGATGTGTTCGGGTGTAAGCTAAGACGGTTTAGGCAAGCCTTTATTTGTGGTTAAATTTCTGAAGACATTTTATTTACTAACAGCACACGTGCAACCAGAGCCCCAAAACATGTTTGTTCAGGTAATTGATGAGGTGTAGTAACTAGTGTGAAGTACAGTTTTGTTGGATTTGTACTTTCCTGAGTATATGTATTTTTCAACAGTCTTTTCTGTTTTACTTTTTCACATTTGATACCTAATTCCTTTTTGGGTTTTAGTTCATTCTGTTCTGTTGGTTACTCTTCTCACTTTTAGACCAAAAGAATCCACGAGAGAAGAATCCAGTTGCTATGCTGAAAGATGCTGAATGTCTCAGACAGTTCCACTGTAGCTCTGTAGAGAAACTCAGTACTTGGGTATTTTTACTTTTTTTTTACTCAAGTTGTTTAGTGGTAGCTGCTTTTAGTTCAGCTTGAGTCATTACAGGTACGGCATGTTTGTTTGAGTTGTTTTGGGCTGCTTTATCTATCTCTGGTTTGTGCGCCCAAACCTGTCATTTTACATAGACCTCTCAGTCCATCTCCCTTCTGTCAGCGTTATAGGAAGTCCAGTGTTAAAATGTAAAATCAAGTCTCCTTTAACCCTTAAGTCTATGGTTATTGTAATTTTCCTACAAATTCTATTTACATTATATTCGTAGTATTATTTTAATGTAGTTATATAAACATATGAGTTACACCTTTACAATTACGCTAGAATCCGTACGGTTTTTTCCGTTTTAATGGACAAAACTGGGCAAAATGTAAACACGAAAACAACTGAGAAGAAACACAGGGTTGACGTATACGTGGTGCACTTCGTTCATTCAGCCACACGATGCCGCCAGTGCGTAATTCACGCTGTCGCAATAGTTGTATTTAGTTTGAACCGAGCCCAGTACCAGGAACTTCATGAGGCATTAAGTATGGGAGATGTGAATGAATCACTGTTATTCTCGTGCTTGTGGTTGATGTAATCTGAAGGTTTGCTTCGTTACTTCATCATGTAATAAGTCACAGAGTGCTACCAAATTCCACGGCGGAACGGCGCTCAGCAGGGAAAAACTGATCGGTTCAGTTTAGTGATCCGACTCTTTTGCTGTTCATATTAGCGAATCGAACGTCCGATTCATTTTCGTTTTGATTTTTCTCCTTTTCAATTTGTGACCAACTTACTAGTGATTGGCATTACCGTTTCCACCCAAATATATCTTGCGCAGCTGTGTCTGTGTTTTAATTTATTTATTTTAAGTGCAGTTACCTGCAGGGGAATACCACCAATTTGTCAAAATTGAAGTGTCTAAGATGTAAACAAAGTCATTCAGAGCTCAGTTTTAAAGAAAATTACCATGTCAGAACTGTTCACAGTGGTGGTGATAAGAACCAGACGTCTGATGAGTTTAAAGTCTCTAAAAGTGCCTTAACAGAAAGCTGTTACATGAAATAGCTAAAAATCATAAATGGTGGAAAGGTAAATGAAGATGTTACGGAGATCCTAAGTAGCTGTGGCAATGATGTGTTCCCTTACATATACAATGGATTTTGCAAGGGAATGCAAAAAGTTTGCAAGGGAACACAATGTCGTTGCAGTTTTTTCCACAATGGCACTTAAGGGGCTCAGTAGGATGTTATAAGGCAAAATAAAGCCCAAAGATTTTTTTTTCTAGATTTACCACTATTGTTCCATTATCAACGTTGCATATAAAACCTACACATGTCGGTTCACTTATTGCTAAATACGTAATACCACCACTGTAAAGAAACCTGAATTGGTAAGTTTCTCTACAGTTAAGTATTTCACATCAAACCACTTTAAATGACTTTGTTTACATCTCAACAATTGAATTAAACACAGAATTCCGTTTTAAGTATCAGGCCTCTGCATTTTGGGGGGCTCAAAGGGAAGGAAAGGGGCATTCTGAACATACATGAAATTTATCTTGAAGTATTAAAATAAGAAAAAAAGTATCTTTTATCCAAAGTGGCACACTAATTGTGTTTCAGAGGGAAGTAAATGTGGTGTTAAGAATAATATCCAGACACTGACAGCATAAATTAAAGGGGAATTCCACCAATGTTCCAAAATGTATGCATTTCTAGTTCAGTAAGATGTAAACAAAGTCATCCAGAGTGGGTTGATTACCGCTATTATAACATCAACAACATTACATATAAATGCTCAGATGACAATGTCTATATTTGTGTTGTAGACATTCTGACTCCTGGTTCCTGTCGCCACCACTGTAAAAAAATTGGAGTCATTAAGTTTCTCAACAACAGTGGTTCCCAGCCCTGGTCCTGGATCAGGTGTGGTGGAAACTAGGAAAGCGATCTAAGAGCATTTGTACACCCTGAGGGCAATACAGCAGGGGCTCAAGCTCCTTCTGGGGTCTATCTGTGCACATCTTTGTAGAAGAACAGGGTTTTTATAACAACCAAGTGAACAAGCAGGCTAACTGGGCTAACAGGCTCCTCCAATAATATTCAGAGTAAGGCTTTAAGTTGAAAAGCTGCAGCATACAAAGTAAAGTATGTTGTATGCATGTCTTACAAGCTTCAAATGTAAGTGTTTTAAGCCAAAACTGCCATAAATAGTATTCCTGGTGTGGGAAAGTGAATGTGTACCACGGTTAGCTTGACGTTAATCTCAACCTCAGATCATGAAAACACAGCTTTGCAAACGCTTGCCTGCTCTGTGCGCAATGATGAGACTTTTGGAGTGAGATGTAACAGCAGGACTGAGAAACCTGTATGAAGCCCACTGCATCACATCTTTAACAGGTATTCAACAGCTTCTTAGAAGCATTTAGAAGCTAGCTGCTGGCGCATTACCACTTTCTTTCCCAGGGAGTGTTTTTGCTTTAGCCCCATTTTAAAAAAAAATCATACAAAAACTGCTATCTTCATTGGTTATTTTGCATGTCAATCAGATGGCCCTCTACAGTGAAAGCAATGCACTGGATCCTCTTGACGATAGGCAGACAACTGGCTTGTGAGACAATGTTGGTAATAACACTTAGCAAATAACAGAGATGCACTATTAGAAATTAGTATTGTTGTAGCAGTGGAAAAAAATCTGGAAGACTTGATATAAAAAGCGGCTACATTATAAACAGTATAATGAATGAGGAAAACTGGCTGGTGCGTCACAAAATATAATATTTCATGAACTTACTGGAATATCCCATGCTTTGTTTTACAGTGGCGGTGGTTGTGGTAGGCTGTAATGGGGCTTCACATAAATGTCAGTGTAAAATAGTCATGTCAGTGTAAAAGGTAGTGTAGTTTTGCCCAACAAATATGACAAAAAGTGTAAACTGTAACTTTCGTACTGATTTTTTTGTGATTATACGGGGACGTGGCAACATTCCACTGTAGCTTTTACCAGCAGTCTCCATGTTTGTTATTTCAGTATGGTCAGTACGAGTGTCTGCTTGTACACCTTATGAGCCTTGCATCATTGCATCCAATAAGATACTTGAAAGCCAAAAACCATCTACACTTGAACAGACACTCAAACTCTCAATAAAACTACCCATCTTTGCTAAGAACTGTTTGATGCATCGTAAAATTTCAGATTTGTCCACTGTACTTTAATGAACATTATTAGTATTGATTTTAGCATCCTAAATTGATACAGTTAGATCACAACCTTCAGATCGATGCTTATTTTGTATAAGTGATCTAAAACACAGAGCCTAACAGGCACAAAACTGGAACAAAGGTAGGTCATAACTGGACAGCAGTGAGAACTTTGCATGGCTTCTGGTTGCTGACTGCCACTTAAAGGAACAGTTTGGTGAAAAATTTGAATTCTTTTTTTAATTTACATGATTTCCCCTCATCCTAAATGCAGTCGATGAGCCAAGACATGTTTGAAGTTCAAAATCTGCTTCTTTAGTTTAGAACTGGAGCTACTTGGCTTAGCAGCTAACAAACACTGAAAGTCAATAGCCACCCAAACCGTTCCCATGAATACATGCCAACATCTTTTATGTAGTTGCTTGAAATGATATTGATAAGCTCCATAAACTCGTTCTGAGAAAAAATGTATATTAAAATGGCATGGATAATCTTATTTACAAATTTAAGCTAAAGCTTAAATTATCATCCGCATTACGACCCATTTTCTGGTACAATTCTGGCTTCAAACTCTTAGAGGCTGGAGCACAGGGGCCTGGTGTGAAACGTCACTATACTGGTAGTTATACCGAAGGCTCACTCACTGTAAGAGAGCTAGAAGTTGCATATCAGATAATAATAAACCTATGAAAATGAGGAGCAGAGACCTCAGTCGATATCACTTGGCACTTGCCACAAGTACACCTCCAGGTTCCTGTTATATGAGGACTCACAGGTGGGTCTGGGGAGTCACTGCTGTCCAAGTGACGCATTTCTTCGTGTGGGTATATGTGCAAACATATGATTCAGGCTCATTTGTGCAAAAAATATCGCCCTCAAAATGTGCATTGATTTTCAGATTTTCTGAGTAGACTCTCAGTTTCTCTACATTTTTTTTTCTTTTTTAGCCTATTGGTCTATGCACATTATAAATCCAATAGTATTTAATGCAATTTTTGTAAAGTTTAGTATTGCTTGGTGGGATTAAAAAAGGGGCAGCAGTAACACTTATCTTTTAAGAGGAATTCCTTTTTTTCTTTTTTCCCCAAAATTCAGTAAGTTTCTCTAGAACAGGACAGTTCACACCAAACCACTCTGTATGACTTTGTTTACATCTTAACCATTCAACTGTGCAGAAATTTTGAAAAAAATGGTGGAATTTCCCTTTAATGAATGAAAACACAGACCTAATAGTCGTTCAGAGGCAGACAGAAAAGGTGTTAATTTTTGCTAAGTCGGTTTTAGTGAAACATAGAGATACACAGAGCCTGAACAGCAGCCAAAGCGAGCTTGTCGAAGTTGTCCTTGATGTGATAAGCTAATAAAAACTTTCGATTCGATTCTCATGAGTCGTTTAAAAGAATCGTTCAAAAAGAATCACTCAACCGTCCCTGAACGTCTCGCAGTCTGGCAGGTAACGAAACCAGTGATCCGGTTCACTCGTGCGGGGAGAGCTACCGGCAAACACATGGAGCAGCTGGTACACGTTCACTTCTGAGGAGGAGGCGAGAGAAGAGGTGAGGTTTTTATTTGTATTTTCACTTTACGAGAGGTTTATTTCAATCAAGGTATCTCAGACCAAAACCTCAAACTCAACAGAATTACAGGGAAAACAGCGCTAGCATAACTGTTAACATTAGCCCCCCGGTGGATTAGCTCCACAGATCCATTACAGCACATCAGCCTCGGCTTTCCTTCCTAGTGTTAAAGTAGTTCTCAAAGACACTGACCTGGATGTTATAATCACTTAATAAGACAGCACTTACTTAAAGGGGAATTCCACCGGTTTTTCAACATTTCTGCGTAATTCAGTGGTCGAGATGCAAACAAAATCATTCAGAGTAGTTTGATGTGAAATGTTCGTTGTAGTGAAACTTAGTGACAGACTCTGATTTCTTTACAGTGGTGTTGATAGGAACCAGGGTTCGCAATGTCTACAACACAAATATAGCCATTTTATTTACTATCCAAAACCAGAAGTGAACCTTCTGAGTTTCTGTGTAATGATGCTGATGATAAAATAGTCTTAAATCCGAATATAATAAGTTTCATTTGAGGACTGCTTTGCCTCATAACAACCTTCTTGTATCCCTCCACCATGAACAGATTCAAATACGTTTATTAAAACAGGTTTTAGGCCAAAACTTTAGCACAAAACTATTGTAAAACAGTGTCTCAGACGTCAGGTTGAGTATTCATATCCATTTCATGTAGTATCTTTCTGTGAGGCAGCTTTTAGAGGTGGGCGTCTGGTTCCTATCACCACCGCTGTGAACAATACTGGCTCAGTAAGTTTATCTAGAACAGAGCATTTCACACCAAACCTCTCTGAATGGCTTTGTTTATATATAAACCATTTAATTATGCAGACGTTTTGAAAAATTTGTGCCTCAATATTTTCAGAGCTCTTTCTGAAAAAGAACTTTAGTAATGCTACCTATTTTTTTTTTTACAGTGTTACAGTAAATTCAAGCAGTTACTACAGTTTACTTCAGGCTAATACCCAATTTATTATAATATCTTATAGGAGTACTACAGGAAAATTATACAAAGGCATAAATATAGATTATTACAGACGTATTATACAGCATAGGGCTGGACAATGCATCATTTATACTGGTATACTGTAATATTGACATACCGTGATATTGCTTTTATATTCGTGATAGTACTTCCATAATTTTATTGATTTGTTTGATAATTAAATAGCAGACATCTTGTTTTTTTTTCTATTTTGTTGACTTTAGTCATTGTATCTAGAACCTGACAGTTTGTAGTGCTTGACAGTTTTAAAAGAACAGTTTAAAATCCATAAATGAAGTAACTTAGGTTTCTTATACAATCTTAAAACATTGGTGAACACTCAAAGAACCCTTTGCATGATTGAAGAGTTCTTTGCATCATGAAAGGGTTATTCAGATTGATGGAGAATGTGCTGTAGATGGTTCTATATAGAACCTTTTTGAAAAGGGTTTTATATAGCACCCAAAAGAATTCTTCTGTTGTTACAGTGCCAAGCCTTTTTCAAAAAGGTTCTATATAGAACCATCTGCAGCACATTCATTCACATTTTCCATCAACCTGAAGAACCCTTTCATGATGCAAAGAATGTTTTAATCATGCAAAGGGTTTTTTGAGTGTTCAGAGTTCTACATAGAACCATTTTCTTTACTAAAGAACCCTTGAAGAAGAGTGTAGTATTGTTACAGAAAGTTGGTATCTGTTCATTTGTATACTCTCTCTTTAGAGATCATTGCAGCTGGTGAGGTTATCAACAAAGTCCTTATTCTGTTGGATCATTTTTCAAAATTACAGTAACACCTTCTTAATCTGTCATTCAGTTGGAGCTAAATTTGTATGTTTTCTTTTGAGATGAATCTGGAACCTGGTATGGTAATGGTCATCAGAACATATTAGCTGTATTCTGTTATTCTTTTGCTAATCTAAGAGTGACATTATTACTGGGAATCAAGGTCATTTGTAGCTTTTTTCTGCAGAATCTTTTCTTTTGCCCTATAAAGGACTTAAACTGGCCCAAAACATAAGACGCTGCTTTGCCTACTGCACTTTCATTATATTAGTGTTTACTATCCTATTCCGCATCTTCTGAACAACCTGAAAACAAGTAATTCAAAAAATCAGTGAATGTTTTCTCTAACAGCCTCCAAAAATACACAAAAATAGTTTAAAAGCTGTCCTAGATGTAGCTATTTTCATCCATCCCTATCGCACATTGTGTCTTGGGTTTGTATAGACAGATTATCATGACACCCCACTATGTTTTAGTTTGTCTGAAACATAAATAGACGGAGACTTACAGTCCTCCTGCCTCGGCACCTGGATGCTGAGGTTGATGTAAGGCTCCTCTCCATCCGAAATATTCACATCCGGACAAGAAAAAGGTTCTTTAGCCAAATAATTTCACAGGCCTTGCCTGAACACATCCAAAACAAAAGAATTAAACAAAAGTTCCATTTGTTGTTATGTAAGACATCCACTCTTCCTGCTTCAGTATTGCAGTCTGTTTATTTCTATTTTAGACCTATTCAGAAAATGTAATATGAAAGCAAGGACATTTCAAAATGATTTAGACCGTTGGTTCGGTTCGGTCCATATCTGAGTGATGGGTGGATGAATAGGAACATCATCCTCAAAGCCCATATACTGAGGTATCTCTTTTTACAGTCTCCATGCAAGGTCCACTTGTTTTACAGGCCCCTCAGTTGAATTAAACATTTTTGCTCTTCAGTGATAGAATATATTTAGATGGGAAATTGCGATTTACAAAACTGGAAGCGAAATGGATTTTCATCTTCATGAGTGAGAGAGCAAGTCTACACTTATAAAAGTGTTTTTATTGTGGTTAAATGTTGTTTTAAAGTGCCAGTTGTACACAATTGTTTGTAGAAAGCTGCAGTTCTCTGTGTTATCTCAGTCTTTGTGTGAATTGTTTACACTCCCACCTATTCACCCCTCATTGGCAGGTTCCAAGATGATTCCAGTTAACGAGTTCCGGAATATTGCCTCGGAACCCAACCCCCGGTTCCGGATTCTAAAGCCTTGGTGGGACGTCTTCTCTGAGTACCTGTGCATAGCCATGCTAATGATCGGCGTGTTCGGGTGCACCGTGCAGGTACACCACCTTTCACTATCAGCCATCCTCCCCCACACCGGTCACATTTTTAAATACTGACAGAGGAGAGAGGCGTGTGACCAGCGCTTTGTTTATTCACCAAAAAGCATTCATAGATTAGAGTCTGTCTGTTTTCACTGTATACAGGAAATTATTTTTCCTGCTCTGTTTTGTACACTTTCTTATCATCAGTACTAATTCTGAGATTAAAAAGTCATTTTAGACCTTAGGAATTATAGAAATTAATACATGATGACTATATGAGTGGAAAATTATTTTCTAACCGCAGTGTAGAAGTATATCTGTTTGCATATTTACATAGCATATAAGACAAAGTCATCAAAGTTCAACATATACAATAGAGTAAATGATACAATACATTGTGTTGTGTGGGTTGTGTTCTGACTCCTTCCATTTAAACGTGTTATTCATGGGTTCTTATCAGTGAGGCTGACCTTCAAGTGTGAGAAAGGCACACAATCTTGCCTGTTTTTGCACTGTCCTGACCCAGATTCGAATAGAATTGGATTAGTAACTCTCCAGGGCTTAGTATTTCATTCATATCATCTTATGTCAGACATTACAAGCTTGCTCCTGCTGAAGCAATCCAGAGCTCTGCCACAGAATGACTGATTGAGTGTGACAAACTCATTATTTCCAATCATTCCTCCATTTGGAGATCGCTGGTTAGTGTGACAAGTGTTGGATATAGTTCTACTAGTCAGCACATGGTATTTATCATTGGCAACTGCAATAAATTATATGTAATATATTGTATGTGTTCAGAAAATACTGATCGACTGATTATAAGCTATTACACAAATGGTTGTAATACATATAAGTGTTGTACATTAGCATTTAGCAGTTTTTGGATTAACATTTTCAATAATATAGAACTAATTTCAACGCCCATACATGTATGAAATGATGTCAGTACTGTATAATTTCATATGTTCAAATAATAGTAGAATGCTGTTAAAAAAGGGAAATTTTAGAATAGTGAGTAAATCTGTGGATGATCCGTAGATGACTGAGAAATCTGTGTAGCTTGAAGAATGAACTTATAAAATTATACATACATACATACATCATCTAAACCTCTTATCCTCCTGGGTTGCGGTGGGGTGCTGGAGCCTATCCCAGCTGTCATTGGGCAGAAGGCAGGATACACCCTGGACAGGTCGCCAGTCCATCGCAGGGCAGACAGACAGACATACATACACAATCACACACACATTCACACCTAGGGGCAATTTAGCTTGTCCAATTGGCCTAATTTATATATTATATTATAAAATATAAATATAAAAATAATATTAAGAATTCCTTCTACTTGCAAAACAGTGATCAAATCTTAAGGCAAAGCTTGAGAAGAATTACTATAAATTGGTAATTACAGTATATTACTGATTATTTCTTAACTTAAAGAGGTAAGAATGGTGAGTTATCAATCGTAAGGTTGCTGGTTTGAATCCCAGAAATACTTAAGGCAGGGCACTTAGCCTCCCACTGCCCTATGTGGAGCTGCTGTGCTGCTGCTGTGCTGCTTCCTGATTGGGCATAGTTGGGCAGCAAACTGACAAATTTCCCTTGTAGGACCAATGAAGTACATAATAAAACAAGTAGTAGTGTGTCACAGAATTGACAGTTGTTCTGTGCCTTCCTCTTTTTGTAGCTGACTCAGGAAAAGATCTCCTGTCTCCCTGATCGTATCAGCGAGACATCAGACATAGACATGGACTGTAACCATCTCCAACAGCCCAGAGAAAACAAGAGCTTCTGGGAGCATGTCATTACTAAGCAAATAGCCCCCAACATCATGGAGATTTTTGGCCGCAAGAATGACCTGGACATCCACCAGTACATCTTCATCAACAGCTTCTGCTACGAACGGGCTGTGCACTGGTACGCCAAGTATTTCCCCTACCTGGTGGTCATACATACCATGATCTTCATGGTGGCCAGCAGCTTCTGGTTCAAATTTCCTGGGACATCGTCCAAGATTGAGCTGTTTGTGACAATCCTGGCCAAGTGTTTTGACTCACCCTGGACTACACGAGCGATTAGTGAGGTGTCTGAAGAGAGAGAAGATGAGCGGACAGTCATGTGGAAAAAGAATGCCAGTGTGAAACCATCAGCAGTGGAAAGTCCTGATGGGGAAAATGAAGGGACTGTTTTTGTCCGGTCCACATCTGTTGTGTCCAACTCAGAGAAGGATGAGACAGAGCGTGCCACATCTGTTTTGGACAAGAAGGAAGGTGAACAAGCCAAGGCTCTATTTGAGAAGGTAAGGAAGTTTCGGACACATGTAGAAGAGGCAGACCTCCTGTACCTCATGTATGTTCTGCAAACGTCACTCAAAGTCTTAAAATTCGCCATTATTACCATGTACAGTGTTGCCTTGGTGCCGAACATCGAGATTGTGGTCACCTGTGTAGTTCCGCCAGACCTGACTGGGTTTAACTTGTTCTGCTGCAATCATAACAAAGCACACCTCTTCTGTAAACTGGCTTACTGTTACATATGTTTTGTTGGCGTGTATGGACTTCTGTGCATCTATTCCCTTTACTGGTTGTTCCATCGGCCGTTGAAAAAGTATTCCTTTGAGCAGGTGCGTCTGGAGACAGGGATCAACGACATCCCAGACGTCAAAAATGACTTTGCTTTTCTGTTTCACCTCAGCGATCAGTACGACCCTCTCTACGCTAAGCGCTTTGCTGTGTTTCTCTCTGAGGTGAGCGAGAGCAGGTTGGGTCAGGTCAACCTTAACCACGAGTGGCCCATCAAAAAACTTCGCACACGACTGTCCCGGAATGCAAGCAACCGCTTGGAGCTGCACTTGTTCATGTTGCCAGGGCTACCGGACACTGTGTTTGAACTACCGGAAGTAGAATCTCTGAAACTGGAAATGATAAGCAATATGACGATCCCTGGAACAGTGACCCAACTTACAGCCTTGCAGGAACTCTCCCTCGTCCATTGTCCTGCCAAACTTCACCTACCAGCCCTCACTCACTTGCGGGAAAACTTGAAGGTCCTCCGCCTCAACTTTGAAAGCCTAGAGCAAGTACCCATGTGGATGTACACCTTACAAAACCTGGAGGAACTCCATATAAGTGGTCCACTGTCCAACGAGCTGTCCCGCAGCACCAACTTAGACACCTTGCGTGAGCTCAAGAAGCTAAGAGTATTGACTTTGTGCAGCAAACTGACCAAAATCCCTTCTGCAGTGGCGGACGTGGCCGGCGAGCTGCTGAGGCTGTGCGTGCACAATGAGGGAACCCGGCTGCAAGCCTTTAGCAACCTGAAGAAGTTGGTGAACCTAGCCACCCTGGAACTGACAGCGTGCGAGCTGGAACGCCTGCCTAGCGCCGTCTTCAGCCTAGCCAGTCTGCAGGAGCTAGACCTGAGAGAGAATAGGCTGACCATGGTGGAGGAGATCCTGAGCCTGCAGCACTGCCGGCGACTAAACACGCTCAAACTGTGGCACAACTCCATCACTTCTATCCCCGAACATATCAGCAAACTGCGCTCACTGGAGACACTCAACCTGAGCTGGAACAAAATCTGGAAGCTGCCTCCAAGGCTTTGCTACTGCACCAAACTTCGGCACCTTGACCTCTCTCACAACCAGCTAAAGTCTCTGCCCCCTGAAATTGGGATCCTACAGAGTCTTTGGCACTTTTCCGCAGCCTACAACTCCTTGGAAGCGCTACCAGATGAGCTGTTCTCCTGTAAAAGGCTGAGGACTTTGGCACTGGGAAATAACAGTATTGCATTTCTGTCCCCGAGAGTTGGGAACTTGGCTCATCTGATTTGTTTGGAGCTGAAAGGAAACAGGTTGGAGTCTTTGCCTGTGGAAATAGCCGAATGCAGCCTGCTGAAGTTGTCCGGGCTGCTTGTGGAGGACAGCCTGCTTGACTTGTTGCCTTCTGAGATCAAACGCAGAATGAATGAAAGATGATCTGATTCATATTTGGAGTAGTAGAAACCCACCAACCTGATGAATGTAGCTCACCTTGGGTTGATTAATTGCAAGGGCATACTTGGAGGAGGGCGAATTATGTTGACTTGGGCTAATTACTTGCAAAGTTAATTTTATGTGTAAAAATGGCTTAAATAATTGAATGTGGAAAAATTATTATTATTATTACATTATTTATTTTACTCTCTGATTGGGCTTGGTGCACTGCAGCCAGCCCTGGCTTGAGCACAAGCATTTAGATACTCATTTAAGATGAGCAATCATCAGTATTGAATGATATTCATTTTAATTATTGCATTAAGTGCCTTAGATTTGGAAACTTTTGTACCTTTCTTGCAATAAAGGATGTATTATCGTTGTATTTTTATGCCTGATACGCCTTTAACTTTATGTCTCTGAATGATTGTTGGAAGCATTTTCACTCACATTTTAAGCTTTTTTTCTACTAAGCAGTGGGTGGTCAGACTTGTTTAGTTGGGTCACTGGCTGGCTTGAGGAGACTTCCCATTTTTGCTGGAGCAGTAGAGATCATGTGGGTGTTCATAGATGATGCAAGATATTACTGCATAGATGAAACTAAAAATCTGCTGCTTTGTTTGCATATTTATGCTGGTATTACAGTTGTGGAGCCAAAATGATGAGGCAGTTCATACACAGCTGATATTTTCCTTCACTGATCAGCATCTGTGCCTTCAGAAGAACAAATATGTTAAAGATATGAAGTTCAACCTCTTGTAATTGTAATTCATTCACCCCATTGTGGAATGTGGTTTGGCATCGAGCCTGTGAAAAAGGAGGAACAAAAAAAAAGTAACCTGCAGCAGGTATTACTTGTTTTACTGTATGGCCTATAGTACAACCTTTCCAGAAGTTACACAGAATTCATTACTGAAGGAGGCGTTTAACTAAATATTAGCACATCTATTACTGTTTAGTGCCTTGAATTCTTCACACAAATTCAATGGCATATTGTCACAAACCTCAGGCATATGGTCACAAGTGATTCAGTAGAGAAAATTAGATGAAAGTTAGAAGGAATGTGCAGTAGTTGGCAGCGCTGTGTGCAGTTATGCCTCAATTATTTGATTGCAACAAAAATGAGAGAAACGCATGACTCAATCCTGCCCCAACACATCTCTCCTCAGGCCCACCTCACCTGCTCAGACTCAGTGGGGGCAGGGCTTTGGGTAATGGAAATTTCCGTTAGTGTGGCTGCACAGTATATTGTGGGTTAATAGTTAATGCAATGATTCTGAACCTACTGGTGATATTCCAGAAGAGCACATGAGCTCTGAATGTTTTGTTGTGTGCTGTGAGTATCTTAACCAATCACAGACAGGCTTTGGATGTTTAGATGAATCCAGGAATGTAAATCAAGCAAATGCAAGTCATACTAATCAAAGATGATGCAGAAGAACTGTTGACAACATCATATCAGGGTTCACCACAGTGTTTTTAAATATTTCAACAAATATCACTATCAAAATTTGGAATAAAAATGTAATATCAGGATTATGTAACCTTTTGCAATGGTTTACACCATTATTCCATCACAATATTGTATTGAGAGAAAAAAACATACAGACGTGTGCAAAAGTTTTGGCACCCCTGGTCAAATGACGTTTTGTTGATTTTCTAAATGAAAGTGAACACATCCTCTACAGAGAACACACTATGGTGGATTGGGTAGGAATGTAGATATTTACCAGATTATAGTCACTAAAGTTTTGTAAATACAAACACAATATTTTCTTCAGTGTGATTTTTCAGTTTTCAATTGTCTTTCTTATGTTATGTTATGTTATGGTTACATTGTTTATTTTTTTTTTCTCCCCTCTCAGTCTTTATTGTTTTTCTTAATTTTTTACTCGTGTTTGTAGGACTTGTATTGTTAATTGTTACCGTACTATTTGTGTTATGTTTGATATGTCTACTGGACCCCAGGAAGAATAGCGGCTATCACAATAGCAGCTAATGGGGATCCTAAAAATAAACAAAATAAACAAAAAAATAAACACACTTCTGCACATTGTAATGCACAATTACTGTTTATTTGCTGAATTTAACATATTTTGGGATGAGAATAAAACGTTTTATTTTTTCAATATGTTAAACTTAGCAAAATAATGGAACCCGTAGACTAAATTTTCCAAAAAAATTTCATTGTTTCCTGTAGATATTTTACCTTATTTTCGTTCATGTCTTTGGTTTCCCCTAGATTGTCTTTTTTTGTGGCTGAGTGGCAGATCACTGTTACTCTAGCTGGCACACTATGTAAGAATAGCGCTGTCTCTGGTGAAATTGCAACCTGTTTGATTAAAAGGCAGCGTCAGTATTTCAAAGTGTCCAGGAAAAAACAATATCACGTGCGTTGAGTATCGTGATAAATGTTGTTATTGAATATCGGCACAATTACAGACTGTAGTCCATCTAGTTCTCTGCATACTTTGTTACGCTATTCTTCAATGGTCAGAACCCCCACAGGACCACCACATAGCAGGTATTGTCTGGGTGGTGGATCGTTCTCAGCACTGCAGTAACGCTGACGTGGTGGTGTGTTAGTGTGTGTTGCGCTGGTACGAGTGGATCAGACACAGCAGTGCTGCTAGAGTTTTTAAACACTGTGTCCACTCACTGTCCACTCTTAGACATTCCTACCTTGTCAGTCCACCTTGAAGATGTAAAGTCAGAGATGATAGCTCTCTTTTGCTGCACAGTTTGTGTTGGTCATCCTCTACTCCTTCATCAGTGGTCACAGGACGCTGCCCACAGGACGCTGTTGGCTGGATATTTTTGGTTGGTGGACTATTCTCAGTCCAGCAGTGACACTGAGGTGTTTAAAAACTCCAGCAGCACTGCTGTGTCCGATCCACTAGTACCAGCACAACACACACTAACACACCACCACCACGTCAGCGTTACTGCAGTGCTGAGAATGATCCACCCCCCAAAATAATACCTGCTCTATGGTGGTCCTGTGGGGTCCTGACCATTGAAGAACAGGGTAACAAAGTATGCAGAGAAACAGATGGACTACAGTCTGTAATTGTAGAACTACAAAGTGCTCTTATATGATAAATGGAGCTGATAAAATGGACAAAGAGTGAGGTATAATTAATGAAGTGGTCAGCCAGTGTTTACAGCCAATTATAAATGTTTGGACACCTCTGTTCAGATGACATATTTTGTTGGTTTTTAAAAGTGATAATAAGTTAACATATTCTCTACAGAGAACACAGTCATCTGACGTTTATTTGCAAATTTTAGTGCATACATATTAGGAAAATATTGCAGAAACATACACTAAAATGTGCCGTAGCTTTTGCACAGGTATTATTTGTTTCCCAATATATTAATTTCAGCCAATAAACAGTGATTGTGCATTAAAATGTCCAGAAGTGTGTTCTCTGCAGAGGATGTGTTCACTTATTTTCACTCAGAAAATCAACAAAATGTGTGATTTAGCTGCCCAAACTTTTACATACAATTGTAGGAATATGATTGCAACATGCTATTAGATCATATTGTGCTGTAGTGTAGGTCTTCAGTGATTTATTTCTAATCTCAATCACTTTACATCCCCACCCACGTCTTGTGAGTGGTAGTTAATAAGCAACACCTGAGGAAATATCATCTTAAAATGCTTGCACATAAAACATTTCCCAGCAATCACATACATATACAATTCGAACTTTGTACAGTAAATGCTGATAAAACAATTACTGTAATAGAAACTGACACAGGAGGAAGTGTGCTAAGGCTAAGGACACTCCTTCACTAAAATACATGTGGTGACGTAAATCTCTGGTCACGCCCGTTATTTTATAAAGTCATCCCCGCGTGAGAGTCAGCAATCAGATGTATTTTTCCATTGTATCTGGAACTGAAACTTTACTGTGCTGAGCAGATCATGTTGAAAGTTATGTTTGTGATGCAACTACTGTAATACCTAGCTTTTTAGTCTGGTGCCCTCTAGTGTTGTGAGGCCTTTCATTCCTAATCCCATGGACAGGCCTCAAATTACCCATGCAGGCTCACAGACTGCAGCTAATGTTGTTATAAAGATACTAATTCTTAATGCTAAAATCACAAAACTATAAAATACAACCATAAAACCTTAAAACTGACATGGATTTGGTGAGGTAACGGTTAAAAAGGGCTGCAACCAAAAGGAATCTGGATGAATGCTGCTGAAGATTTTGTTACAGGATGCAACAGGTAGCCTGGGCTCTTGGCTTTAAAGCAGCCAGGGCCAACAAAACACCCATTGTGTTGATGTCCTCCAAGCTTTAAACCCCATGACAAACTGTTCCTGTTCAGTGCTGTGCTAGTCTACCTCAATGACAGAGCACTGTTTGGGCTGTTTGGTAAGGCTCATTCCTACACCGGGTAATTATAAATGTCCTTGCTGAGTCACCTTGAGGACACACCATAGCAGTTTACATAGTCCACACTGTTAGGTGAAAAAAAGAACATATACGGAGTCCATATGCTGGTCATTAAAGGGAATCATTCTAATATTGGAGTTTTATGATCATTAACAGTACTTTTTGCTTAAGTAAAACATTGTAAAACATCCTAGAAATGCTGTTTGTCAGATGTAAAAAAGCCTGCATTGTGCAAATGGTACCTAAATTTAAAGAGGAATCCCACTGCATATTTAAATGGCTAAGATGTAAACTGTCATTCAGGGTGGTCTGATGTGAAATGCTAAAATTCTAGAGAAATTTAAGTCAGAATTGTTCACAGCAGGAGTTGGCAACCCAAATGTTAAGAAGAGCCATTTTGTCCTTTCAACAAAAATCAATCCGCCTTGGGAGCCACAACATTGTATGTCGTTTTATTGAAGTAATGTTTTACCATTTTGTCTGTAGATATGTCTCAGTATATGCTAATATCCTAGCCAGTATAGGCAAAAAATATAAATGAAAACGCAGATTTACTTTGCTCTGCTTTAAGCTTTAGATCAGCTATAGCTGCTTTTCTCACATCTCCAGCAGGAAACTTTTCTGCAAAAGTAGAATAGTTTCTTGTGAAATGTCTCATTCACCATCTTCTTGTTTGAATCTTCCCGTTCCACCTTAAATGATGCCTGAGGCACCAGAATGTAACTGTCGCACCATTTAAGGTGGAACAGGAAAATTCGAACAAGAAGATGGCAAATGAGAAGCTGACTTCAGCCTTGCGGCGGTTTGGGGCTCGACAGTTTTTCATTGCAGATCAAGTGTATCAGCTGGAGTGTTTATAAACACAAGCAAGTCCATTCGTCTCCAAATTATCGGTTCATCTTACATCTTTCTTTGCCGTTTCGTTAGCTACTAGCTAAGGGAGACTGTTGCTGTGTTGCTATGGTGATCAGCAGTCTGCACGCTAATTTTAAGGGTTAAAGGTTGGTGAATTAGCAAATTCCAGCATTTAAGACCATTATTAAATGTATTGTTTAAACAATCGGCAGAGCTATTTTACTGCCAAGGAAGATAATTTTATTCTTACCTAAAAACCTAATTCTGCTGTGGAGCCACAACAGGGCAGTAAAAGAGCAACATGTTGCCAACCCCTGGTTCACAGTAGTGGTGACAGGAGCCAGACGTCCAAAGTGTTTGTGTCTAAAAACTCCCCCACTAAAAGATGTTACAGTAAATGGTTATGAATACGTTGCCTGATGCATTGTTTACGATAGTTTTAAGATAAGCTTTTTATTCTTTAAAAGAGGCACAAGGCAAAATAGTCCCCAAAGAAAATTTATCATTTCAGATTAGTCTCCAATATTATTGCATATAAAAACTCAGAAGGCACACGTAGGTTCACTGTTGGTTTTGAATAGTAAATATAATTCTTTTATTTGTGTTGTGGACATGGCAACCCCTGGTTCCCATCACCACCATTCTACTCTACAATTAACCATTTCACATCAGAATCAACTTCAAATGTCTTTGTTTACATCTCAACAAATGATTAAAGAAGACATTCTAAAAATCGGTTCTAAGTTTGAGGAGGTACATATTTTGTAGCAATTGTGTATCATAAAAATTAGTTTGTATCATTAACAATTAATTCTGTGGTGGTGATTTTGGCTTTCTGTGAGAAATGTTTGTGAACAGAGCCCTCTTGTGGTAAAAGGAATTGTGTGTTTTGATTTTTTCCCTTCATTTTATACATTTTCACACAATGTACAACAAATGACCAACTCTGGTTTAAGCATTTAATTGTTTCAAAGAATTCATGTGATAACAATACCAGTACATCCATTTAGGGGGCAGGGCAGAGGGGTGTTGACAAGTATTTTTATAAATAACATAAGAAATCCCACGGTAAACATAAATGCATATGTACAATTTCTCAATAAATAAGTCAATATTCCCATAAAATGTTATATACACTTCATAAACACTAAAGTTTTAATACACACAAAAAACACAAACTAAGTAAATAATCTACAAGTTCATCAGTGCATGTTGCAAACCTCACTAAGTGAGAGAATGCAACAGTAATTTCATGAAATTTTTTTCATTTTGTTTTTGTTTTGTTTCTTTAAAAAAAAAAAAAGGTTAACAGTTCAAGTTTTCTACACAGACCCGTGCAGCAAATGTAATGTTGGCTGTAAAAGGATGAAAAAAGAGCTATTTACAATTGTGCATGGCAAACACCCAGACAGCTGGAATGGGAAAGTGTTCCTCATTCCCAGCTCTGGTACTTCACTCTGTGCAAAACTGCTGCTGCTACATTCTTCATCTAGTATTCTGATTTAACTATGCAACTGAACAATTAAACATCTTTTTAAAAAAAAAGTAAACACATAGTAATCTAGTACTGTACATGAAAAAAGTGCACCCGCCCTGAAAGGACTGGGCTCTAGAACTTCAGAATTGTTTCAAGAGGTTAAGCTCTAGACTTAGAACTATTTTTCTATGACTGAAAAGCTAAGGTGGACTCTAGCTGTCGTTTTAGCAGCTCCACCAAATCTGGAGTGCACGTTGCCTTGGCGATGTCCAGCGCATTATCCCCTCGCGTGTCCTGGTGCCCGAGGTTTGAACGGGGGGCTAAATACTCTACCACATCTCTGTAGCCCTCTCGAATGGCAAGGTGTATGGGTAAGACTCCTGACTGATCGGGAACGTTGACATCAGCGCCGAAGTCCACTAGGACACGGAGCGTGTCCAAAAAGCCTGTTCGGGCTGCGTCGTGGGCCGGCGTTATTCCAAAGCGGTCCTGGATGTTCGGATTTGCACCACTCTCCAGCAACAGGCAAGCCACACTGGTGTTGCCCATCATCATAACCTGGAGAACAGTAAACACAATAAAAGATGACCACACTATATAAACATTTGTTTACATGCACCAACAATGTCCACTAGAGCTAAAAATGGAGAATATCTCCATTTTTGCCTTTTTTAGTTTTTGACATAATTTAAAAATGTGTGTTGCTCTTTATATTGTCTGTAAATTTCATAGTGACTGAACCGATAGAAATGGCCCAAAAATACTTGGAAAAATGTCTGGTTCCGTTTAATCACATAATGGCAATTTGTTTATATTGTGCGGTCCTAATGTTGTCCACTCAAGCACTGTACAGAAAGTATGGATGAGCCATCTGACAATATATATCGTTCATATCACAACACAATACACTATGCTTTTCTGAACAGACTGTATATATCTTCAATACATGTAAAACATAGGCCAACTGCATGTCTCATTAAAAAGAGAGAAAAATTAATCCTGTTTAACTGGATTTAGTGCAACACAGTCTGCCAAATAGTGAATAAAAATCATTGTGGTCACAGTTTTTGATAGAATTTTTAAAAATGTAGCACTACTGGATCTTTTTTTTTACTTTTCCATCTGGTCAGATGTGTGACAAAATAAATATTGTGACATATCATGACTTTACTGAAAGAGTGATATATCTATATTTATATATCTCTATTTAAATGTCTTCAATATAAGACTGATACAATCATACATCACTGCTATAGCCAGTTCATAGTGTGGTGAATTTGTAGGGTAAAGTCATGTATTGATAATAAACAGTAATGACTGAGTTACAAAGAAAAAAAGTCAGCTTGCTTTTGTCCAACACTTCATTAGCTTATTGAAAACCAAAAGTAAGTTATAGCTTACACCACAGCATGCCAACTCTCATCTGGGAAAGCTGGAGAATCCAGTACAGTTGGGTGATTTCCCTGCTCAAACACAGCTGATTCACCTCATCAGTTAATGACCGTACTTAGTAGGTATGTTTGAGCAGGGAAATCACCTTTGCTGGACTCTGGCCCTTGAGGACCTCAGATAGGCTCCTGCTTTAGGGCAGCTGTAGGTACAAAAACAGCAGTACAGTATGGCACCTGGGATTGACATTTTTATTCAAGATTTGCTGTTACATCCTGAACAGTAAGAGATTTAGCCACTCATAAACCTAAACATATGTTGATATTACTAATGAATAACAGACTTCTTAAGTATCAAAAATATTCACCGCTTTTAGGGAAGGACAATGACATCAGCTTCATATTCGTTTAAGCAGATAATTTATTAATGATATATATATATATTGGTGTCAGACAGACGTTTAGATTTGATATTTTAGACCAATATTTGATGACATTTATTTTACTCTGGATAAGCGGAAAGTGATGCTGGGATTCTGTGCTAAGATGTCTGCATTGTATTAACTGTACAGCATTTAGAAGCTAATAGAAATAAATGGTATATTTCTCTATGCTAATCCAGGCAGATGTACTCCCAGACTCTACATTTTATAAACATTTATAAGTCGGCATCTGCTGGCAACTGCCATATCGGTGCATCCTTGTCCTGTTGGCCATGGTCCCATCTGGAGAACATATGTTTGGTTTACATCCAAAGAAGCAGGATACAACAGTTGTGTGTTGGTGGCGTATAATATGGAGTTTAGATTTAAAATTATTATTTTAGTTGCTTATTATTCTGGTTGTTTTAGTTTTCATCTTTGGTAACTTATTTTTAAATTACATTTTTATACTTTTGTATATTATTTTTGCTTTTTTTACTAAAAGGGTTTCTTTCTTAGTTTCATTATTATTTTTTTTCAATCCCTGTTCTTTTCAGTATATTTGTACATGCATGTTCAGCTATATTGTAAACGATGAAGACGAAAACAAAGGTGACTATGTGATACTACACTTGGCTCTAAAAAAATGCAGTGAAATGTCAATATTTTGGTATTACTGGTGCATAAGATCACAAATGAAAATGGCTTTAAGAGTTTTAAAGGGGAATTCCACTGATTTTTCAAAATTTTTGCATAATTCCGTCGTTGCGATGTAAACAAATTCATTCAGAGTGGTTTGATATGAAATGGTTAATTGTAGAGAAAATTATGAACTTGGATTTCCCAGTGGTGGTGTTGGGAACCAGGGGTCACCATGTCTACAACACATTTTATTTACTATCCAAAACAACCAGTGAACCTACGTGTGTCTTCTAGGTTTTCATATGCAATGACAATGATAGTAAAACAATGGAAAATCTGAAAAAAACTATTTTACCACACCACGCCCTACATTTATCTCTCCACCCTAAATGGACTAAAATAAATAGATTAACAAGACGTTTTAGACCAAAACTTGATCACAAAACCATCATAAAACAATATCTAAATAACAAGATCTCAGGCAACGTATTCATAATCATTTCTGTGAGGGAGTTTTAGGGGTGGACGTCTGGTTCCTATCACCACCACTGTAAACAGTTCTGACTCGGTATGTTTCCCTACAGCGGAACATTTCACACTAAACCACTCTGAAGGACTTCGTTTACATCTCTACCATTTCATTACGTGTAACTTTTGAAAAAAACTGTGGGTGTTCCCCTTTAATACACCCCTCAGCAACCTAATGTGTGGATTATAGCGCTCAAATCTTCCAGAAAACTAAGCGTAGGATAATACGAGCCGCTATGGCCCATTTTTGTTTACCTGTAAGGCGGTTTTCCCGAATTCGTTCACCGTGTCTGGATGAACCCTGCAGTCCTCCAGCACCCGCCGCACCTCCGCCGCGTCTCCTCGGGCTGCCGCTGAAGTCAGTCTCCTCCCCGCCTCCTTCTCACTCAGGACCATCGTCTCAGCGCCAGATTAAGCCTTTAAAAAATCTCTAAATTAACCTTTCGGACGAGGCTGAAGTCGGTTTCCTTATTTGCCAGCTTCGTGTTTAATTTTTTTCCGTTCCACCTTAAATGGTGCAGCAAGTACATTCTGGCGCTTCAGGCGCCAGAACGTAACTGCTGCACCATTTAAGGTGGAACGGCAAAATTCGAACAAGAAGCTGGCGAAAATGAAGCCGACTTCAGCTTCGTACCATTCGGCTTACACAGTGGATTAATACCAGCTCAAAAATATAATAAATACTAGCGAGACACAGGGAGCCGCCTAACGTTATGTCTCATTTTAAACTGAATGCCGGTGCATAGCTTTGTTACGACTATGCTAAGCTAACATGCTAACTTGTTTACTACCGTGTAGCCTGCCTATACCCAGAAATGACAACCGAACAACGTACGGGGAAAATGATGTCTCTGAAACGGATAAAAGGGACATTATAAAAAATTAAAGAACTAAAAAAGACACCTTACACGAGCCCGTGTTTTAGTAGCCTACGCTTGAGTCGTCGAGAATGGGGAAATGAAACTATTTTAAAACGTAGCTGCTTTCCGTCGCCTTACCTTATCTCCGCGTTTAAACCAGTAAGTCTTGTCGTCGTGTCTGACCGTTGGCTTCGGCGTCCTCCTTTTTTCTCTCCGTCGTATGTTTTGCCTTCACTCGATTTAAATAAATCAAAACAGATAGATTCAACCGCCTTTCCAGGCGACAGTGCCTTTAATTTTGCGCGCTTGGTGGGAGCTGTACGGCGAGCTGAAAAATTTTTCTATCGTGACTTCACAAAATGTTGTCGAAGACGTCGCCGACCAATCAGAACCTACAAACGGGGCTGGGACGCACCATATACGGGCAAAAGGGCGGAGCTTACATGCGGTTGCCACAGTGTCCCCATAGTAACTGAGCGATTGACCAATCAGAGCGAAGAGCGCAGAAGGCGGGCGATTTGAGAACGTTATTTGTGTACGGTGAGAGTTCATTCATGTTTCTCCTTTAGGAGAGAAATAATCGAGGAAAAAAGGCGGGTTACTGCAGATCTAGTATATTAAAAGCAACAAATACGCCCATAGACATGTACTGGACCTTTAGCCCGGAAGGCACGACACAGATATGTATATTAAACAACTCTGATCAGGGGGAGCAGTCACTCTGCATGTGTTAATATAACTGGATATATAGATTTAGGGTTATTCTTTAAATTGCATTAAATTAATTTGAGTAAAAATGCATGGAAGTATGTATAAACAAACACAAAAAAGTGTTGAGAACACAAGCCAATACACATTCAACACAGTACACACCTTTTTATTATTATTTTGAGGAAACAGTTTAATTTAGTTTGAATCAGCATTTTTTTTAAATCATGACATAGTGCAACAACATTAAATCATTTAAAAACAAGCATTTGAAGCACAATAAAATCCCAAGCACAATAACACTATTTCAGAATAAAAGGATTGAAATATCAAGACGGATTCTGATGCAAATGTCAACTTGATCAGCTTAGCGTTTGCTTGGTTGGTTGAACAAGGTCAGGAAATGTCAGTGTTTGTCTAGGTGTTTGTCCTTAGCTGGTAATCTGTAAAGGGAAAAGCACATACTTCAGCTGCACTTGCTGGTTTGAGTGAGGACACAGTCTAATGCTTTCCTCCACCCTTGTTTTGATCCTATGCAAATCAATGACCTAGATAAAAGTCTGCTGTGTGCAAACATGCAAATACACTGTCATACCTCCACTCTGTGTGATGTACCTAACCCAAGGTAAGGCCTGGTAGCCGCTCTTCTCAATGATCTTCATATATCGCACCTAATGGAATGGAATCCAAATAAAATCAAATAATTATGTTATGATATTTATGATGCAATGTATATAAGTAATTTATAGTAATGCCACATGAACTGTCAAAAGAGCTAAAAGGAATGGGCCAATGAAAAAAAAAATCCATTTCATACAATTTTCCTCTTACCAAGGACATAGTCAATTAGCCAAGACATTTGATGCCCTCATTTTGCTGCTTTAGTTTAGTGCTGGAGCTACGAGGCTAATGTTGTTAACAAACACCGGAAGTCAGTAGTCACTCAAACCGCATCAAGGTCCTCATTAAGGCCACACTGACTTGTTGTGATTTAAGACACAGTATGAATTATAAAAATGAACAAAACTTTACTGTGTTTTACCCGAACTCAGCAACCAGCCAAACTGGAAAAGAAAAAACCTACTTTACTTTTAATGTAAGTCAATGGAACTAGTCTTTTTTCCAAGTCATTTTGGGTCATTTCATTTAGTCCAATTATCATGAAAAACATCAAAAATGGAGATACAAGTTTTGTTCTGACAACAGCGATATGTATGTTCATAACTAGAAAATCATGAGCACAAATTGTGTTCATTTTTATAGTTCACAGTAAGTTATACTGCACTCTAAACCACATCAATGAGTCTGCACAGCCTTAATTAAAACCTGGATGTGGTGTGAGCTGGTTGTGGGTATGAAAAAAAAAAGATTTTGGTGACTACAAACCTGTATCCCTGACACAGTGAAGTAGGGGATTTCAAATTTCACTGTAATTGGGGGTTTTCCCTCCATCTCATCATTCTCCACGCTGGGGAGGCCAAAATGAGCCCTCATCAGGAACTCTTTACCTCCCTACACTCCCACACAAACATCAAATATTCATATAGAGGACACAATCAAATTCAGAGTGCTGGACAGTGAACATACTATATATTGAGTCATTTGATTTATTACCAGGCTATTGGCATATTCCATTCCATACAAAAGGCATTTCGTTGAAAAATAAGAGGGTGAATGAAAATAAATAAACACTCATAAATGGCTGACATGGAGTAGATAATAGAGATATTACTTACAGGAAAGGATTTAATGGTCCATACCACTAGGTTCTTCTCAGGGACATACTTTGCATGACCAGTACTAGTTTTGAACTTTGGGGAGTCTGCATCGCTTGGGACAGGGACTCGTACCTCCACATTATTGGCCACAGATTGCTTTTTAAACTGACCTTTAGCCTGAAGAGAGAGAGAAAGCATAGTGCAAAGATTAAAACAACTCTAAATAGTGTGAGTATCTTGGATTAAGAGGAATTACTCTGTGTTGTTATAACTTTGGAATACACATACACAAGATTACGCTGTAAAATGTGACTAAAGTCAAATGCTCACATGGAAGCCATCTAGTACAGGGTTTCTCAACCAGTGGGCCGCAGACCACCAGTGGGCTGTGAAGCACCCTCTAGCGATCCGCGGGCCTTAACTCAGGGGAAGGCAGTATTTCGTATTGGGCTGGTAACAGCCCTTTAGGTTATAAAAACATAAGTGGAAAAAAGGTTAATCTAGGCTTGATAATTAAAAATCGAGGAATCAAACACTCCAGATAATAACCAATTTAAATATTGACAGAGACGTACAAATAAAAACATCACAGTCGCAGGTTAATTAACCATCATCAGTTTGAGACAGCGCAGCTGCCGACCCATATCATTTTTCTTTAGCTCGCTCCGTTTTGATGTGTGTGAACACTCCACCCATATTCGGGTCTGTATCAAACAGCTGAACCTGTCTGGCAAAACCTGTGGGACTCGGTCCGCTTTCAACCAAACCCTGTTCAGTTCACTCTTGGTGGGGATGCATTTTATGATGAAGTGAGGGAATTAATCAATACAGCCTACTTTCTTCTTCTTGCAGCAGATCGGTGCTGTACTGTCAATATAATCTGCCTGTTTTAACGTCTTACTCTTCACAGACTCTCGTTGCTCATGTCGTTCCTCCAGCTCAAGCTACAGCTGATAAAAATGACAGACAAGCCTTAAAATAATAGTGAAGAGATGTGTTTGATTTTTGACCAAGCATCAGCGATGAGTAGTTAAACTCAAATTGATAAACTAATGACAAATACACAGATATTAAGTAAGGTTTATTAATTATTACTATTGATCATGACAATGCTAATCCAAAAGTCTACTGACTTTAGTGAGGTTTATTTCAAATGAGGCACTAAAACCCTCAAAACTACAGAGACATCTCCCAGACCAAACAGTGACTCCTGTGGGAGTCATGATGGACTGCAGCTCCAAATCACAGTCCACATCCACATCTATCTTTTTTCCATTATCCCTTTTTTGACATTTCTGCACACGTATGCTTTTTAAACACATAACCGCAAAGTTTGGTTTCTGTGATTGAACTGAAACAGATGATCTGATCTTTTTCAGGCCTTAATTCACAGGTTTTCAATGTGAGCAATTAAAAAAAAAAACAATTAAAAAGATTTATTTAAATTTTTCTTTGGGCCGCTATGCTTTATAGTTTTAAACAGGTGGCCCTTGGGGTGGAAAAGGTTGAGAACCCCTGATCTAGTACACCTTCATTAGAATTATGCAAATAACATTATATTACCATATTACCCTTTTGGGCAAACTATTCCAGTAATCCTTTGAGGCTTATTGTGGCGTTATTACTGATTATTCGGTAACTACTCTGTACTATATGTTAACTACTAATCTGTGAGTTCTGTAGTTATGAGAGAGATAAACTCTTAGGTTTAAGAGCTTAATACATCTTAGAAAAACAAGAAAAGAAAGTAGAATTTGTTGCCAAAGTTGCTTTAATGGCACAAACTTTTATACACTTATAGTGTCACATGCACTGAATGTCTACTCTGTGAGGAACTTAAGCATCCTTCTGTAAAAGGTTCCAAATAAAAGCACTAGCTGATAGATGCACATGTAAATGTCAGTATAAATATAAATGTGAAACTTTGAAAAACCCACCTTTACCATGATCTCCACTCGACTGTGAGAGAACTTCTCAATAACAGACTCAATCCAGATCAGAGGTTTAACCTATTACAAGAATGTAAAGTTGAAACAAGCTGTTTTTTTGGTTTGTGATTTAGCCCTAATGCACACTATAATGTAAAGAGAAAAGATTAAATATACAGAATAGAGTTAACATGTCTCACATGCGTATTGATCCGGTATGACATCAGCTCAGATTCTCCGTCTGGAGGGATGAAGGAGATGGTTCTGTCGCTCTCAAAGCGTGAGAGTCTCACACACTGATGGAACTTCACATCCTCCATCGCTACAGTCTTTCCTTTATCTCCTGCACAAACAAACAGGCCTCTTAAAGCTCCAAACTAAGCAAAAACAGAGCAGAGAGTGTGGACAAGGATGCTGTAAAGCCTCCTGTACGATGACTTTAAACTCTTAGAAGTCATAACAATACTGGTAATAATAATGCTGTAATTTTATATTGAGTATTTCTTACTCATCCCTTATGGAGAGAATACGCTTTTTGAAAGCCATTAATGTGTGCAAGTTTACACTAGAACACAAATTAGTAAACTGAGAGGCTCCGTGGCTGGCTACTCTCAGTGGTGCCACACTTGTAAAGAGGAGATTATGATTTAAACTTGATGAAAAGTTTGCTGAAACTCAGGCAGTTTGCATTGCAGTCCATATAGTTACTAAGTAATAAGCCTTAGTGTGTAATAAATCTGGGATTTGAAGGGGTTAATCATGTTGTTACACAATTACATTCAATTAGTATAGAAAAACCTCAGTAATAACTCAAACCTTCAAAGGATTAAGAAGTTCTCTGTCACTGGATGTGTGAAGTTCTTATCTAAACACTACACACAGACACAAACCTGAAGTCGTGTCATTCTGTAGTCTGTTTTCTCTATGGCAGAACTGGATGGTGTTTTTGGAAATTCCTGTGTTGATGTGTCTTGTGGTAAACTAGAATGACTCAGACTCGATACATTTTG